GGCATTACAAATAATAATCATTGCAATGAGATATCTCATATCTGAGAAAATGGCTTAGATCAAAATGACAACTTCAACAAATATTGGTATGGGGATGGAGAAAAAGGAACAGTAATAAACTGTTGGTGAGAATGTAAATTGTTGTGGTCATTTTGGAAATTGGTATGAACTGCCCTCCAAAATCTAAAAATAGAACCACCATATGATCTAGCAATCCCACTTTTGGGTATCTATCTGAAGAATAAGAAATCACTATCCCAAAGGCTTCTATGCACTGCAACATCTACAATAGCATTATTTACACTAGCAAAGATATGGAAACAATGTAAGTGCCCACTGATCAATGACTGGGTAAAGATGCAGTATATATGTATACACGCAATGAAATACTACTCAGCTATAAGAAAAGATGAAATGCTGCCATTTGCAGCAATATGAAAGGAACTCAAGGGAAGTATACAAATTTCTGAAATTAGTTAGAAAAATAAAGACAAATGCTGGATGATTTCACCTGTATGTGTAATAAAAGAAAACTAAGTGGATAAATGGACAGAATAAGTTTCCATTGAAAATCTAAATGAGGTTACAGAGGTAAAGAGGGTTGGGGCTATGTAGGAGTAAGAGTGGCAGGGTTTTAATGAATGGTAGTGGGTGTGTTAAGTTTTTGAAAAAAAAAAAAGGTAGACTTACAGGGAGAGGGAGAGAGAGAGAGAGAGAGAGAATTTCTTCAGGATGTCAGTCTCATGGCCAGTTGTCTGAAGTCCATGACTTGTAAATTTAAACTCGGTTAGGAGAAGTCCACTGTTGTGAGGTCAGTCCTACTGCCCTGGGCCCTTCCCTCTTCTGGCAGAAGTTCAAGTTTGGCTGCAGCCTGTGAGCTACAGCACGACTGTCCTTAGAAGCAGGGTCTCCTGAAAACCATTAAGAGGAAATCTATCTCAAAGAGGTAGCTCTCTTACTTCAAGGTGACTTTCCCAGTTCTGGTACATTGCCTCTTCCATGCAGGACTCTGAAGCCCTGAAGAAATGCAATTCTTTCTAATTCCTCCTAAAAGACTGAAGAAAAGCCTACTAGTGCTGAAGTCACTGGCAAGATCTGTGGTGTGATGCAGGGCTGAAGCAGCAAGGTAAGCTATGGGCATGGAAGGCCAAGGATTCACAAGGTCAAAGCTTTCTAACTTAAGGTCCAAGACATTCGACTGGCCTTTAAGGGGGGGTGAGCGAGACAGAGTAGCCAGATAGAGAGGCCTCTTTTTATTGTAGAAGAGAATCATGTGTTTCAAGTTGGCCAAACCAGGAGAAACCCTCAGTGACTATAAGTTCCTATAAATTGTGGACAAGATTCAACTCAGGTTAGTGGAGATTCAGCTCCTACTCCCCTTTAAAAAAGGAAATACTTGAAATGCATGACAAAAAGCAACCCATATGGCGCAGCAGACCTCTCCTGTCTCGCCCGCTGCTCCCCTCAGCAGTGTATTTCTGCCTGTTCTGCTCCCCACTCTGTCTCTGGTGAATCCTCTCACCCTCCCGCATCTCTGGCCTGTACCCCAGCTCTTGTATGCATAAATAAATACATTTAAAAAAAAAAGCTGAGGGTGTTAGCCTGCAGCTTTATTTTAACCTGAAGCTTAAAATGTAAACCCCCTTAAGATTCAAGATAAAGGGCCTCCCCGGTGGCTCAGCGGTTGAGCGCTGGGTTGCGAAGCTGCCCGAAGCCTCCGTGGCGCGAGTTTGATCCCCGGCTGCTCCCCGGCCACCGGAGGAGGGTCCCACATGGCACGCAGACCTCCCCTGCCACCCGCTGCTCCCCTCAGCAGTGTACTTTGGTCCTTCTGCCTGCTCTGCTCCCCCTCTGGCTCCGGTGGATTCTCTCACCCTCCCGTGCTTCTGACTCTACCCAGTGCTTGTTTAAATAAATAAATATTAAAAAAAAATTCAAGATAAAGCTACTCCAATTACTGAGAGAAAACACCAAACTTAATTTTGCCAATTATATTAAAAATCTAAACCTTAAAAACTAACCTCACAGTTTCAGGTGATTTCTGCAATGTTAATTTAAAAAATTCTAATATTCAATTTTTTAAGACAAAATATTTGAGGTCTCAGACAACTTAAACATATATATTAAATTGGGAAAAGAAAGCAACTATAGTAAGTGATACAAGCTTAAGTGTCCATAAAGAACAGAAAACCAAGAAAAACATATTCTTTGGTGTTCTAGCCCAGCACTGTTACTTCCCAGGATTGGGAGCAATTGTACCAGGGATGACTGATAAATGAAATAGAAATGACCTCTTTTGATCCCTTACAGGTTTACACCTCTGGGAGTAAAGTATCGGAGTGTCTTCTATCTGGTATGAGAGGTACTCAATTCTTTGGAAAAAATTAGGTAAAGTACTACTTTGGTATAAAGAAATTAGAGCTATTTAGCAAATTGATTTTGGTATTTTTAAATCCTGTTCAAACTATCATTAAAGATACTGAACAGATTATGTAGTTTTAAGACTTTGTGAAATCTTGCTTTTTGTTTTTCAGGTTTCTTAAGAGATAAGAATTTCCTCCACATTTCAAGGACGCATTTTTTTAAGGCATTAAATTTTTTCTAAGGAATTAAATGAACTAATTCCAGGAATAAAGTTAATAATTATTTACTGTATAGGAGATGTCCTTAGCTACTTGTAAACTACTTGGGTATTGTGTGTGTTTAAAATCCACTGGTTTAAAATTGACAGACTGTACTAGGGGAGCATGAACATTGAGTGTTTTCAACCCCTACAGTACACTTTGTGCCATATGAGTGGCCACCTATACTGGGTAATTGCCTGAAGTCACAGGGTATATATATATATATATATATATATATATATTTTAGATTTTATATATATATATATAAAATATTTTAGAATTCTCAAGGAGGCGTCAATTTAAAAACTCAGTTTTCAGTGTTATAAGAGGGTTTTTTATAAGGAGAATTAACCAAAATTACCTCGACTATGGAGTTCAAGTTCTCAAGAAAGCTGGGCTTCAGACACAATGCTTAAATGAATGACTTTGTCATAAAATAATAAAGCAGGTATGGGATAGATTTGCATTCTATAGGCAGAACAGTTTTTATCAGGGATAGATAGAACAAATGTTTGAAACACATCAGCCAGTGATTTCAAACTGTAGGAAATGACCCATTAGTGCACTGTGAAACCTGTTCAGTGGGTTGCAAACAGATTTTTCTTTGAAGGCATGAAACAGAGCAGAGAGTGAGTCATTAGAACAATAATAATTGATGAAATCTTCCATTCATCTGTGTACACAAGGTAGGTGTGGGCTAGGAATGATTACCTTTTACTTTGCATAAAATATAATTTTTACTGTGGGTTGTGGTTTAAAAAATTTGGATATGCAATGTAAAAAGATTTCAGGAGTACAAAACTCTGAGAGGAGGTTACACAGTAAAATTTGCTTTTAATTCACATAGATATTAGGACAGAAACACTTTGAAAAAAAGCGAACATAGGACATAGGGGATAATGGATTCTATATTTGCATTTTCCAAGTTTGCTATGATGAAGAGAAATTTATAAAATTGCTTGCCACCCATAAAAACATGCTCATTTTTTTTTTTTTTTTTAAATAGAGGCATGTTTTATTTATTTATTTATTTATTTATTTGTTTGTTTTTGTTTATACATGCACTGGGTACAGTCAGAAGCACGGGAGGGTGAGAGAATTCACCAGAGCCAGAGCGGGGAGCAGAGCAGGCAGAAGGACAGAAGTACACTGCTGAGGGGAGCAGCGGGCGGCAGGAGGGGTCTGCGCGCCATGTGGGACCCTCCTCTGGTGGCCGGGGAGCACCCGGGAATCGAACCAGCGCCGCAGAGGCCGCGGGCAGCTTCGCAACCCAGCGCTCAACCGCTGCGCCACCGGGGAGGCCCAACATGCTCATTTTTAAAATATTCAAACAACCCTTAGAAGTAAATGGAGCAAAACATGAAAAAATCCTTTTATTCTTCCTCCCCTAATCTAATGCCTTCAACAGAGAAAATTGCCAAGAGTTTGGTATGTTACTGCAGACTATTTTCTAGGTACAGACACAGACACGTATATATGCTACAAAAACAGGTTTTTAACCATATAAATGTAAACAGGAGTGTGCAAGAATTATTATTATGCAACCTGTTTTTCATATCAGTCTGTCTTACAAATGTCCCCATGTCTACAATCTAGAGCTATTGTTTTCATCTGCCGCAGAGGATTGCATGGCAGGAATTAGTCTGTACTAATTCAACAACTGCCACACTTATGTACAATTATTTTATTTCTCAAAAATTTCAATACATATTTCAACTATAGACTTGATGCCTAGAATTACAGTTGTTAAATCTGACTTGAAGATCCAAATAACCAGCAACTTTCCAAATCTATGCATACAAGAACTGGGGTACAGGCCAGAGGTGTGAGGGGTGAGAGCACTCACCAGAGACAGATTGGGGAACAGAACAGGCAGATTGACTGAAGTACACTCCATAGGGGAGCAGCGGGCGACACGGGAAAGGTTTGTTGTGCCATGTGGGCAGCTTCCTGGCCTGACGAACTCGTGCTGCAGAGGCTGGGGATAGCCTCACAGTGCTGTGCTCAACCCTCTGGGCCACCAGGGAGGCCCCAAATCTGACACATTTTAAATACTGACATATACTGCGAGATTGTCCACCTAAACAGCTGTATTGGTTTATACACTTCAACGATGACAGAGCTCATTTTTCACATTATCTCCAGCACTAGGAATCGCCAATCCTTTAATATCTACCATTTAAAGGGATCAAAAAATAGTATCTCATTTTAATTTGATGGCTTTTGAAGTTGAATGTTTATATTTATTTCTTTAAAAATATTTTTATATCTTTTGTTCATTTATTCACTTGCAGGTGTTTATATTGAGAATCCCCAACCTATTTCACATTATTTCCATCATTTGTTTTTTTTTTTTTTTTTTTTTTTTAAGATTTATTTATTTATTTATTTATTTTATACAAGCACTGGGTACAGTCCGAAGCACGGGAGGGTGAGAGAATTCACCAGAGCCGGAGCAGGCAGCAGAAGGGGCAGATGGATTCGGACGAAGTACACTGTTGAGGGGAGCAGCGGGCGGTAGGTGAGGTCTGTGCGTCATGTGGGACCCTCGCCGGTGACTGGGGATGTGAACTGGCACTGCAGAGGCTGCGGGTAGCTTGCAACGCAGTGCTCAACCGCTGCGCCACCAGGGAGGCCCTCATTTGTCTCTTATTTTTCTACTACCACAGTTGGGATACAGGATAATTCATCACTGAAAAAACTCCTTTGCACAGCCTCTCCCTACACCAAGAGTTGGCCACCGCTTACCTATAGTTTTTTCTCTTTGAGAATGTCATATGAACAGAATCATAAGGTATGTGACTTTTTGAGATTACAGATATATACTGGCTTTTCTCACTCAACAGGACTTTGAGATCCATCCAAGTTGTTACATGTATTAATATTCACATGTATTAATATTTGATTCCTTTTCATTGTTTAGTATTCCATTTTGCAAGTACATTAGCATTCATTTTCCATTCACCTGTTGGAAGTCATATTGGTGAATATCAATAGAGCTGCTATAAGCACCCATGTACAGGTGTCTGTATTGACACGAGTTATCTTCCTGGTATAAATATCCAGACCTGGGACTGCTACTTTTTTTCTTCCAGTTTTTTCCTGCCTTCTATTCGATTTTTAAATTCCATTCCCCCTTTCTAGTAGTTTACTAGATATTAAAGTTGTTGACATATTTGCTTCTCTCTCCTTACCTTTGCACCTGGTAAGTCTGCATTTCTCTGTTCTGCCAGACTCTTAGACATGGCCATATGACCTTCTTTGGCCAATACAACAAATGCAGGAGTGACAAATGTTACACTGAGGCAGGCATGTTAAGTTAATGCAGGTTGCAGTCTTTTTCCTTGGACACGAATAACCAGCAATTTTCCAAATAGTGATACTCCTCCAGCAACCAGGTTGTGGGTGATGTGGAGGTCGCTAGCCAATCTGCCAAAGGTATATGACATGAGCATAAATAAATCTGTTGTTTTAAGTCACTATGATTTGGAAGTTGTTGCTGTGGCATCACCTAACCTTTCCCCATATATCTTTAAGTTTAAATGTTTCTATCAACACCTAGAGGTAAACAATGTATTCTTTCCTGGAATAATTCAAGATACTAACATACTTTCACTTTTTATATCCTATATTCATGTTAAAACCTAGAATTTTAATTCACTCTTCACATATGCATTAATGTTATTTGGAATTCTTCTGATTATAAATGTCTAGTGATTATAAAGAGGAATGGCAGGTAACATGGCATCATCTATTTCTTTCATTTAAAATCTTTTATGGAGTCATTGTTCAGTTTGCTTAGTAATTCCTAAGACTTCTAAGTTGTCCAGTTGCTGAGAAATGTAATACTATAAACTTGTATGGCCACTCATAGATATTGGTATGGTTTCATTATTTATGCATTTATTATATGCCAACTGCTGTGTTCTTCTAGGATTCTTCTTTTTTATAACTTATCTTTCATCATTTTACAGTGCATATTAAGGGGACTCCCTCAATCAAACTTCCATTTCATGAATTTAAGCTTCAACTGAAACCATCCTGCTATCTAGTTCAACTTGTTTTATTTTCAGGTCACATCTTAATTTCCAGAAACTCTATTTCTTTTTCCTAGCATCCCATTCTTTAAGGAAGCAATATCCTTATGAATCGCTGAAGATCTTAACTGTATTCATTTAAAAATGTTACTTTAGTAACTATTTTTGTGAATAGGTTAATCAGTTTGTTTTTAAAGATTTATTTATTTATACAAGAACTGGGGTACAGGCCAGAGGTGTGGGGGGAGAGGATTCACCAGAGACAGAGCAGGGAACAAAACAGGCAGACTGACAAAATACACTGCTGAGGGCAGCAGCGGGTGAGACAGGAGAGGTCTGCTGCGCCATGTGGGATTCTCCCTGGCCGGCCAGGATCGAACCTGTGCTGAAGAGGCTGCGGATGGCTTCACAGTGCGGCGCTCAATCGCCTGCGCCACCAGGGAGGCCCTAATCAATTTATTTTAATTTGGAGTCTCCTTTTGTTACTGTGTTTTCTTTTCAAATTTGAAGATTCTTGGCTGTTCATGTTTATAGTTGAGGACCTAAGATTAAAGTTTGAAATGCTTTTTCTTCACCAAATGAGAATCCTGGTTCATTTTCAATGAACACAAATCTTGATTATAGGCACCTCCGGTGATTATAAAGGGAATGGAAGGGCACCATAGCCAGACATTTGTGGCCAGTTTTATCTTCAGTTTCTCTTTGTAGTCAAGTTGGACAATGTCCTCATTCTCCAGTCCTATTGTTTCCTGTGTCAGAACTCCCACTTCGGAGAGAGGCTTTCTTAGCCAAAGCATGGTGGCAAACTCCCGAATTAAGTACTTCAAGGCAAGTGGGAAGGCTTAGTTGTTCTACTCTTTAATTGACTGATCTTTCAATAATCTGCTTTCTGTCTTCTAAAAATCTCACATTGTTCATTTTCTGATTTCCAACTATTTATTTTTGTTTTACTATTTCTCCAGTCATTTCAATGGAATTCTGGAAGAGTAAAAGAATGTATTCAGTCAACCATGTTAAATCCTTACTCCAGCAGGTAGTTTATAATCAGAATCTTTTAAACATGTTATCATCTCTTTGTCTTGCAAGATCCTCTGGAAAATCAAGAATTATTAATTTGAAATTAGGGCTTTTTCTGTAACTATCCATTTGAAATTAGATTCATTATTTGATATGTTACTGGATAGGCATACAATAGTAATTTCTGACCACTAGTAATTATGGGTGGACTTAGGGCAAGATAACAAGCTTCTTGCTGCAGTATTACATCTGACACATAGAAAGCCAAAAACTGCTATGTGTATTGCATATATTCTGGTAGCCTCTCAATAAAGGTATACATTCCTAGACTTCTAACCCAAATGAAAACAATATATTTCAATTAAGTACCATTGCTTCAGGATTAATACTGAGTTTAACAATCATTCCAAGGATATACCTGTATATATTTATCAGTAAAATATCCCTATTTATAATTCTTAATGGAATCATTTCAAAGGATTGATAAAATAAAAAAGAATTTTAAAACAATTATTATGTGTATGAGTCTAAAAATCTGTGATCAAATTCAGGTTATCAGTACAAAACATTTAATGCCTACCTTCTCCTATTCTTTTTCCCTCCAAACTTATCAGTATCCATTCAATTTTGAGTAGTCATTTTTATGAATTTTTCAATGTGATCCCTACGCCATCTTTTTTCTTAGCCATGTTTTCCAGATTCTAAATTACTTATCTAATCATTCTGCACTATATATGTGTAGGCAAGCTACCTCCAATTCACTAAGGAATAATCTTCATCCCCATCTGTTCAGATTTTTCTTTCAGTCTTAAGAGCATTCGTGTGTATCTCGTGTTTCCACCTCCTCTGAGATTTTACTGCATAGATGAGCCTCTCACTCTTCAGCATCTGCAGTATCTCCTTTAATCGTTCCTACCTTTCAACCTATAACATTTAAGTCCCTCTCATTCTAAAAAAAAATGTTATTGTTTTCTTTTATCATCTAAACCCCTTCAAAGAATAGCTTAGACCCAGTCTTCACTGTTCCCTCAGCTTACTGCAACCTTCCTTTCTCATATACCACTTCACTGAATTGCTCTCACTAAAGTCACCAGAGGTCTAACTGCCACTTATGTTCTCTGCTGCATGACACTGCTATCTACTTCTTCCTTCATGAAAGTCTCTCATCTCTTTCCTTTTCAAAATCCCTTCTCCCATTATTAAATTTTGAAAGCCCCTGCAGTTCCTTGTAATCTTATCCACTTCCATGATTTTAACTACTGTTTTTTTGGGCTAAAGACATTCAAAATCCTTGTTTTTCCATATTTTTCCATATCTATCAGTTATCTCTGAATTTTATTGGTGCTTTAAAATTCATTGTGTCCAAACCAAACTCTTCTACCCAACGCAGTTCTTTATCATTTGTAGCCCTAATGATACCATCACCCAAACTGAGTCACACAAATGGAGTTTAGCCTCTGCCTGCTCCTTCTTCCTTACTTCTCCTGACTTTCCATAACCAAATCTTGCTTATTTTATTTCTTAAATAAAATTCATTTATTTTCTACCCTCATCTATACCTTAATTCAGACCCCTTTTTCTTCTTGTTATTCCCTAATCCAGAAGCTACCATGATGGTTTTTGGTGGAACCTGTTGCTAGATAATTCTATTAAAAAAGGATTCTGTAACCAAATATATTTGAGGAGGGTGAATATCATATGCATATCTTAGCAACACAGAATGAACATTAACCTGAAGCAGCCTGAGAAATTTTACAGTAAAGAAACTTGCTTAACTTTACTTAAGCCATGGTGTTTGCCCATGGAACCCTTTCAGTGGGAACTGGAAGTGTTTAAATTCCACATAAAAATTGAAAAAAAAAAAAAAAAAAGAGCTCCTCAGAAGTGTGCATAATTTATATCTCCGTGTTTCTTCAAATTGATCTTCCATACCAAAGCTCACGATTTAAAATGAAAATCCAAACATGTCATTTACTTTCTTCAACCCCTTTATTAGCTACTGCCTCAGGAAAAGGAACCAGCTACATGCTAGAGGATAGGAATGTAAGACCAGCTACTGTTCTTGCCATCCACATGAGCATTACCTGCCTGGTGACATTCCACTAACTCTGAACTACCTGTACTTGTGGTTACCCAAGCACACTACTCTCTTACTTAATGACATGGTACTTCTGCTTATGCTCTTTCCTCTCCTTTGAGTGTCCGTTTCCTTTATCACCATATCCCCAGTTTCTAACCAGTCCTTTAAGACTTTGCTTACATATTACCTTTTTAGGTAAACCTGGCCCCATGGCTCTCTCTTCTTCCCAAACATTAAATTCCCTAAATATCCCGATCACAGAATGTGCCCTGCAGTATTAAGACATTTGCTTGCGTGACTTCCTCTTTTGCTCAACTGTTAAAAGGCTAAAACTACAACTTGCTCATTGTTTTATTCCCATAACACTTAATTCATAATTAATGACCTAAATAGTACTTTAGTAGTCCTTTGATAACAATCAGGCAGGACTTTCTAAAAAAATTTGACACTTCATTTTTTTTTGATCCTCTCAAATCACAATCTAGTTGAATTAAGACAGTGCATGTTTTATCAGGAAGGCATGACTTAGCCCAGAAACTATATTCATAATCTCTTACACACTCTGCCTTTTCAAAATCCTATCCATGTGGGGGAAGGGAACAGTTTTGTTTCCCAACAGACCCACTCTTTTGCACTTCTGGTGCTCACTGGCTTTTCTCTCAATGAAGTCCTCCTTCAGTTCTTCCTCACTGAACACAGAAACAGGATAAAAAGTGATTAAGAACATGGGTTTTAGCTCAAATCCCAGCTCTACCACTCACTAATTTTGGGCCACTCACATAATTTGTCTCCTTTGACTCATCTGTAAAGTGGGCACAACAGTAATTACCTACCTTAATGGGCTGATGTAATCTATAGAGTTAAATACCTGGGTAAATGTTTCCTGCTCTGGTTATATGAATTAGAATACACCAAAATAGCTCTGGTCCTGTGATTCATAACATTTCCATATTTTACCACATGGTAAATGATTCCATTCATTGTCCCCTATCCCTTTCTAGCCGCTTACTCTGCTCTGCTAGTGTTCTCCCTCCAGAGTATTAGTTCTGTGAGGGTAAATGCTTTCTTTTATTGATTGCTTAAAGCCATGATGCCCAGGACATATTAGGCCCTCAGTAAATACTTTTTGAATGAGTGGTGCAAAGTGTCTAAAGAAAAAATGTACCAAAGATTTCACTGAATAAAAAGTAGACGTAAATCTTTCTCTAATGGCTTTCACGCCTATATTTTAAAACACTATGTGCCATAGTGAAATCATAAGAAATTTATTAAAATTTGAAGGCAGAAACATAATTTCAAAAGATTTAGACTTATGTCAGGCGTGATAGAGTATGGATGCTTTCTTGAAATTCAAAATCAGAGCCAAGGGTATCACTTTCAGAGTGTTCTAGTAGATTGAGTTTACTTTTAGTTGTCTTAGATGAAACAGTCACTATTCTACTTTCTTTCTTGACAGAAATGTGTTTTGTCAAAGACTCACTTTTTACTGGTTCATTAACCACAGAGTTATTCTGCCTGACTCCTTTGCTTTTCAGGCTTACGGATGAGTCAGAGCAGGAAGGCTGGTCCTTTTCAGGTTGTTTCTTACCAGAGTGTTTTTTGGTATATTCACCTGTTTTGGCCAATTTCTCTGAAGAAGATCTGCTATTTCTAGACAACTCCTCTTCTTTTCTTTGACTTCCAATTCCAGAAATCATGTCTGCTGAAGGAGAACATGTTCTAGCAATGAATTCTTGGACAGACTCCAGCCGCTGCTCAGTGACTGGGAATCTCAGGTTGTCATTGGAAGTTTCTAAAGTCTCCTGAGTAGCAGTTGGGACAGGGAAGGAGTCAAGAGGCAAAGGAATTCTAGCATCACCTGTAATTTTCTGAAACTGGAGGAAAAACAAAAGAAACAAAAATTCAGTGATGATAAAGCCATCCATGAAAAAGTAGAGTCTAACACATCAATGTTACTCTGTGATCTTATTAAGAGTCGGTTGATTATTCAGAAGGTTTTAGAGCCAAGTTTTCTTCTAATGATACTTTGTCAAATAAGCCCCAACTTAATTTAGCTATATCTAAAGGCTTTTTGTCCACTACAGTTTCTTTGTGTTTAGGTAATTATAACCCTTTTCCCCTTTTCTCATTCAAAATAATAAAACCCTATCCTCTAATAATTTTTTTATTTTTTTTTTTGGACTGAGGCAACATGTAAATATTAATAGTTTCCAATTTGTGACTAATCTGTGTTCTCAAGGTGTCTGTACCCAAGACCAGTCTGACTTAGCCGAGAAGAGAGGTGGGGGCTACAAGTAAGTCTGGAGGAAAAGCAGAAAGGTTTTCCCCTCCCATTCCCATAAAGGGTGACTCACTATCCTTCATGCCTGGATTGCTTATTTTAAAAAATTATCTATTTTCAGTACTTGTACCTTCATTAGTGTTCCTTCATTGAAAGCTGACTGCATACAAATAGAAACCTAGATGAAATATGAATAAAATAGACATTTACACCATTTTAAAAATTTGGAATATTTTCTCTAATCTTGTCTTTCTTCCTTCACTAAGTAGAATTTGCTTTAAGTCATAAATTTCAATAGAATATCCAGTGTTCTTAGTTACAACAAAATATTATGAAATGGTTTTTAATTTAGTGAATATTCACTAATATCAGATCTGGAAAGGTCCCCAAAGAGGCTTCTAGTGCTCAAGGATGTGGACTATTAGAGACATTGCTATTCTTTTGTTTGACCTGGTTATTCCCTTTTTGCTAATCACCCTTAGAATCAGGAAGTTCTGCTCTGTCCACTCACTTGGATATTTTGCATTTGTCCCAGCGCATTCTGCTTTGATTCTGCTTTTTCTTCCTCAAGTGCCTTGTTTTCTTCTTTAGGTTGACTACCAACAGTAGAATTCATCTGGGGATGACCTAGTAAATGAAAATCTGACTGATCTATACCAGCTATTGTGGCAAGCTGCCCAAGCCTAGACAAGAGAAGGAAAGGAGTAAAAGGCAAGGGTCATTAGAATCACATCTGAACAGTTTAGATGCGCCATACCAACAATCATGAAATGCTTCTAAAATCTTAAAATTCAGTATCCTGCTCCAGTCTATAAATTTGTATCTCTCCCAATTTCCCAGTCCTTTCCACATTCATGCTCTGGGAGGCAACAGAGGATGTGATCCTTTAAGCACTTCCTCCTCCCCACAACAGTGTGTTAAATACTACTACTTAAGTATATCTCTTTATAGCTTCAACTCCTACCACAAAACTAGTCTTCTGTCTCACACCTCCATTCCACATTCTTGACCATCTTTCCGCCAGTTCCCAAGGACTCTACTCCTTCCTTCCCAGTAGCAACCCACTCACCTACAAAACATCATGCTATCACCTATCAATTTATAATTCCTTCAGCACCTTCTTATAGTAAGGTGCTGAAGAACCTCCTGGCTGAGAACCACTAATCTCTATATCTCCCATGCAGATTAATAAAAAATTTTATGTCTGGGAGGAGAAAAAATTAATTCAAATTTAATTAGCAAGCAAAATGAATAAGATGGGGAAATTCCTATGTATTCCTAAATATTTTCAATTAAGATTACCTTCAATTTAGTATTCACCAAAAACTATGCCTGCTGGTTAACTACAGGTCACTCTTTTATAATGTGCTCTTCTACTCTACTAGGGCAGGTTTACCAATTTACTTATTTACAAAAATTAATTGCCCATTAAAAAGTCAACTATATTACCTATAACTACATATTAAATATAATCAAGGAAGCAATAAAAATTGCTGAAGCTCCTCAACAATTTACCATTATGGTCACAGAAGGAAAAACGGCATGCAGAGAAAGAAACTAACCCAGCATCTTTAAGGAGATCCAGGAATGCATGGAACTTCTGGAAAGAATTCTCAATGCTGCCCAAAATACCTTCATCATCCAGGATCATGCTTGTTAATGACTGTGCATGCAGGGCTTCAGACAAAGAGAAATTTATATTTCTTAACTGAGCATTTTCATGTTCCAGCTATAAAAGAAGATTGAAAATGTCTGACCATTTTTCTTGTTGCCATCAAAAAAAGTTTTATGTAAAAAACATTAAAAATGTAACTCTTAAATACAGAGATGTGTCACATAATAATCAAAACCCAGAAATATCCAAGTAACTTTCCCACAAAACAATTAGGTTGTTTTATTAATATGTTTCAGAAAGATCACATATCTACATTCTACTGGTTAAATTTCACAATAGAAATTTCTATTTCTTAAACTGGCACAGTCATCATGGAAAGTAATTTGGATTCACCTTTAAAAAACTAAAAATGGAAATACTTTATGAGCTCTACCCAAAGAACATGAATGTAAAAAACTATTTGCTCTATGATGTTTGCTGTGGCACTATTTATAATAGTTAGAACATGGAAACAGCCTAAATGCCTGTCAACAGACAGCTAGATCAAGCACAGGTGGTATATCCACATATGGAATATTATTCAGCTGTAAGAAAAGATGAAATGCAGTCAAACAACAAAATGGAGGGAGTTCAGAGGAATTATGTACAATAAAGCAAGTCAGAATGACAAAGACAAATATTGGATGTTTATATAATAGAGGATTTGACAAAGTAAAATACTTTCAAAAACAAGTGGCAATAAACATAGTAAGGGCTCTGAAGTTAAGGGGTGGGGGAAGAAGAAAGCGACAAGGAGATATAAGAGATGGTAGAAGGGGTAAAAAAAGAAAATCCTTTTAAAAAGAGTTCAAGAGCAGAAGGGCCACCCACTTGGTCTTGGAAACACCACAACCCCTGTCCTAGTGCCTGAGCCTTCCTTTGGGAAACATGCCTGCTCTTGCAAGGCACACAGGCAGGCTTTAAAGAGCCTGAGGATTCTTAGTTAGAATCTGGACTCCAGGTCACTGCCATGGTGTCAGGTAGAAAAGTGGAATTTATTTTCTTTTTGTAGCTTGATATATAACTTAAACATTTAAAACAGCGCTTCTCAACCTCAGCACTACTGATGTAAAAAAAAAAAAAATTTAGTCCAATTTGACAAAGCATATGATTCTTTTAAACATTAAGGATTAATTTAGTGAGCAAAATACTAAAGTGTAAGTTTAAAAGTCCTAAGTCATACCCAATTTAAAAACTTTATGATTATCAATATTTCCCCTGGCTTTTTGAAAATATTTACTTCCTTGCATGACCCCTGCCCCCTGTCATCTATTCATCTACAATCACATTGAAGGTCAACTCTATAATTTTCAGAAAGGCCATTTTTGGTGCACCATTTGTCTTCTATATGTAGGTGCTCAATATTTACCGAACAAGTTTATGTCCTACCACCCAATGAACACCCACAAAAATTCTTCCTCAAACTCAGTTTAAAATAATTATACGTTACAGAACTTTCTAGAGTCTCCCTGGTGACGCAAAGGCTTGAGCACGGCATTGTGGGGCTATGCGCAGCCTCTGCAGCACAGGTTTGATCCCCGACCGGCCAGGGAACTACCCACATGGCACAGCAGACCTCTTCTGTCTCACTTGCTGCTCCCCTCAGCAGTGTATTTCAGTTAGTCTGACTGTTCTGTTCTCAACTCTCTCTCTGGTGAGTTCTTTCACCCCCCACACCTCTGGCCTACACCCCAGCTCTTGTTTGCATAAATAAATAAATCTTTAAAAAAAAAAAACTTTCTAGCTTATACCCTACTTTCTTACACAGCAGCCTAATATAATTCTCATAGAATATTTTTTTTTCATTGCATTCTTATGAGTTTTCTAATATCTGACATTTTTTATAAATTACCCACTTTCGTAATTCACTATCAGTAGGTGGTCTTATTACCATGATTTCTATGTTATGGTATATAAAATGGAAGCATACTACTTTTTTGAATTGAAGCATCATGAACAGGTTATAAAATAAAGTCATACAAAAGTGCACACATAAAAAACCCTGTGATTTTTACATTATAAAAAACATGCTTTCTGGAATATAGCTTATATGATCACTAAATACAAAAGTTTATATGGTATAGCCAATTTGCAGTATATTTTCTCACTTAAAGTTTAGAAATTGCTTGTAAAGCTTAAACTCAAATCAAAATAAAATAAAAAAAATCAAAAAATTTGTTTACCTCACTGACTCTTTTATCAGCCTTAAGTCTTATTCCTCTTTCCTCCGTTAATTGCTTTAGGCATTCCTCCAATTTTTCCTAGTGTGAACAAATAAGAAAAATATTATAACTACTTCCTAATCCATGTAAAAGTCTTTACAGTTACAGATCTCACCAAAGATTTAGGGGCTGAAATAGAAGTGAACTCAGATCTCAGGATTATAGTCCATTATTTATAATACTATATCATGCTAATGAATTTAATTACTAAACTATATCAAATTATCATATTAAATATTAATTTAAATCCCACTCTTTCCAAAATAGATTTGTGGCAGCTCATCATAAAAGATATATAAGTCAGAAATAAAAAAAATTGAGAAGAAAGAAAAATTCTGTTTTTTATGTGGTCTCTTTATTAGAAGCTCTACTGACATGCTTTAACACACCTGAATTAGGTAACTGCAGATTCAAATGCATCTTTTAAAAAGCTAAATACTTTTAAGGCACTCTACCATATTCCTAAAACTGTCCTGGGTTATTTAATAATTTAATCATGAAACCCTGCGAGGAACTGTTCTCTGTTATAGCTAAGAAAGTGAGGCAGAAAGAAAGAATGGCAGACCAGTTCATATAATTAGTGATGTAGCAGAGTCATGTTTCAACCTCAGGAACCTGGGGGCCATTCCTGTCCACAGAAGTGGTAATCTTACCATTTGCCAAGGTCAAATAGAATGGATGTTGGCAGAATCCACTGTGATTTTCAAAAATTTCACTCTAAGATGCTTGAAAGTGGGGGATGCTACTGTGGCCAGCAGAATTCTAAATGGCCTACATCTGAAGTAAACAAACCTCCCAGTAATTCAACCAAACCCTAATCTAATTGCCACTCTGAAGGAATTTTGCAAATGTAGTCAAGGTCCCTGAAATCAGGTGATCTTAAATTAGGGAGATTATTTGGGTGCATGGGACATAATCAGGTAGCCCGTTACCATTCTAATGGGAGTGGGAAGATTTGAAGTAGAAAAGGGACATGAGGGTAATTCTCTGCTGCTGGCTTTGCAGAAAAACAGTATGATTTTATAGTGAGGAATGCAGGAGGGAGGGCATCTAGGAGTTGAAATTCCCCTGAGTGATAACCAGCAAAGAAAGTTATCTCTGCTCTACAACTGCAGGAACTGAATTAGGCCAGTGAGCTGAATAAGCTTAGAAGTACACTGACAGAGGCTGCAGATGATGACACAGTGTGACTGTCTTCTTGATTTCAGCTTTATAAGACTGAGCAGAGAACCCAGTCATGCCAATTCTAAACTTCTGACCTACCCAAAAAAAAAAAAACCAAAAAAAAAAACACCCCAAAACCTGAGCTTATAAATAAGATACTGTTTTAAGTTTCTAAGTATGTAGTAATAGAAAATATACTACTCGGACCGAGTGCATGAACAAAAATGATTCAACTAGGGCCTCCCTGGTGGCACAAAGGATTAAGCGTCAGCACTATGAAGCAATCCACAACTACTGCTATCCCCGGCTAGGGAGGTGACCAACGTGGTGCTGCAGACCTCCCCTGTCTCGCCCGCTGCTCCGCTCAGCAGTGTATTTCAGTCCATCTGTCTGTTCTGTTCCTCACTCTGTCTCCAGTGAATCCTCTCATACTCCCTCACCCCCACACCTTTGGACTACACTCCAGTTCTTGTATGCATAAATAAATCTTTTTTTTAAAAAAATTTATTTATTTATACCAGAGCTGAGATACAGGCCAGAGGCACAGGAGGGTGAGAGAATTCACTAGAGACAGAGGGGGGAGCAGAACAGGCAGATGGACCGAAAACACTGCTGAGGGGAGCAGCGGGCAAGACAGGAGAGGTCTACTGTGCCATGTGGGTTTCTCTCTCGCCGGCTGGGAATCGAATCCACGCTGCAGGGGCTGCGGACAGCTTCACAGCGCTACGCTCAACCTGCTGCACCACCGGGGAGGCCTGTATGCATAAATAAATCTTTAAAAAAAAAAATTCAACTGTTTTGGGATGTTTTCTTGTATTATACTTAATAAAACCTATACTTAATAAAACAAGGTATACTGATGTATTTTAAAGGCTTTTAAATAATCCTTAAACAAAGAATTTCAACTTCATAGTTTAGTTTATCCTTGGAGTATATGTGTTTGTTGAGAGGAGGAACTCTATCATGTGGCTACTAGGAGAGGAAACTAAGGAGCATATTAGTATCTCTAAAAATCCTCAGCTGGGCCTTAGCCTAAGCGGTTGAAGCTGGGTTGCAAAGCTGCCACTACCCTCTGAAGGCGCCATTGTTCGAACCCCGGCTGCTAACAGTCCCCGGGGAGGGTCCACATGGCGCGCAGCCTCTGTGCCGCCATTGCTCCCTCAGCAGTGTACTTCAGAGGTAATGGATGAGCTTTAGGAGCTCTGGCTATGGTGAATTCTCTGTATTTTCCGCGCTTCTGACTTACCCAGTGCTTGTATAAACAAAAAGAAAAAACAAATAAGAAAAATAATAACATGCCTCTATTTAAAAAAAAAGGAAAAAAAAAAAAAAAAAAAAAATCCTCAGCTGGGAATTTAGCCTAAGGAAAAAAGTTTTCATTTTTTAAAAAAATGAGACATATATATTTTTTTTACTAAGGCATGAAGTTATTTACAGTCTACAAGTCGGAATTTTCGTTAACAGCATGCCATGTGAAGCCATTGTTTAACAATGATAACAGAAGGTAACAACCAGAGGTAATGGATGAGCGGCTATATTTAAAATGTATTTGTGTATTTTCTTGGGAGATGATCCAGAAGCTTAGCCAGATTGTCCTAAATAGAAGACAATTTAATGACAAAATAATATTTATACCTTTTTAAGACAAAAGGACAGATCAAGTTATGGACAAGTAGGGGTGGCCATCATTACCTTCAAAAAGTTTTTCATTTTTTAAAAAAAATTTGAGACATATTTTTTACATTGAGAACGTATGTTTAAGAAATTAATAGTCAAATAACTTCAAATTCATGTTTCATTACCAGTTAAAGTCAACCAAGTTATTACTGGGGGGGGAAATTACAAAATTGCTCTACTTATTGCTTACATAACGGTTCAATATTTAAAACTAATGTCATAGAAACTCTAAACAAATAAGCAAACAAAAACCCATCACTACAAAGAAAGGAGACTAAAATACTTTTTTTCGACTACTTCTTAATAGTACAAAATACAAAATACTTCAAAAATACAAAATACTTCTTAATAGTACAAAATACAAATACATGAAACAGTTTCTCCCTCTAGTGGAGGGAATGAGAATACAATGCTAAAATTTTATGGAAAAATATACTTACCTCCCTAAAACGGAACCAAAAAATTAGAAAATGAAACCAAAATGGAACCAAAAAATTAGAAAATGAAATTCACTTGATATTCTAATAATTAAGATTAATGACGATGTTTGGAGTAATTTTCCTTCCTGTAGTCTGCTCTCTCCCACCTCCCTTTACTGATATCAGCTGGTTGATGTTTTCTTTTCTGGAACAAAGCTCCTATCACACTGTCAATTAAGTTTGATGTTCAACTTTTTCCACTTAATATCAAATCAATCATTTCTCACATAATTCTCACATAATCAAGTTGAGTATTCTCAACTTGATTTTTTTTAGGTTGCAAAATATGCCACTGAGTGGGTTTACTGGTTCATAGATTCATTGCTTCATTGCTTAAACATTCGTACTCTTGGTGATAGTTTTTCTGTTCTATTTTTCAGTTTCACTTTTTTACTTGTCTTCTGTCTTTTCAAAAATTGGTTGCAATCTTTTCTCTTGCTTATTGTGGGTTTATATATTTTAAATAAACAACTTGATATTATTATCTTAGTGCCTTATCAAAAGGGAAAAAAGCTGAAAGGGTCCACAAAGCATCTTAAATTAAATATTCCCTAGTTACAGTTCCTAACTTTTAGGTATCCCCCAAAGTCTATAAAGGAAATGACAATGAATTCAGATTCGATGGCAGCCTTTACTCTGCAATTTAGTAATAAACCACTTAAGTGCCTGTAGGATAAGTAAAAATGTCAGGCTTTTCTGCCCTCCCGCCATCAGGATAGATGACGCGGATCTTTGCAGTCCTGAATGCATGCCTGATGGCGGGCACCTGGAATAGGGTGTGGGCATAGGTAGATGGGATTCACCTGGGCTGAGACTGGGCTTTTAAGGTCGGCGTCATGGGGATGCTAGCAGAAGCCGAGAAAGAAGCAGGAGAAGCCGAAAGAGAAGTGGAGAGAGAAGCAAAGAAGCAGAAGCCGAGCTCACCGGAGAGCCCAGATAGAGTGAAGACTTGCTGGGGACTGGGAGGACTGCCAGCCTCCTGGCCCCCCAGCACCCCTGCCTGCCATGTACCGGGTAAATCCCAATAAAAAGACCTGCAAAAAGCCACTAAGGACTCTGACTCCTTTTACCCAGTCTGCTGGATCAGAAAACCTGCACTGTGGCCCATATCCTGCCCCTACAGTGCCACAAAATGTAGACGCTCATTTATAAGATGAAAGGGGTTAATGACATGCTATATAGACTTCTTTCTAACATTTAACATTCCATAATTTTCTAAGTACTTTTCTATATTACTATTAATCTGAATAAAAAAAGAAAATCTGGCCTTCTTATTGACAAATAGTAATTTCCAAAGTACTAAAACAACACTAAAATTGAAATATTTTTGAAGTGTAAAAATTTGTTATTAAAATCAATTCTTTTCTGCTCACACAAATACCTAAGTATCTAATGCCATTAGATGTCAGGCTTACTAAACAATATAATTAACTTTTTGAAACTTTTATTTTAAAAAAGGGAAATATCACTAAACTTTTTTCAATTTTACTTTTATTAAAAGCAAGCTCATAATTTCTTCTTATAAGAGTTCAGCTAGTGCCAACAATTTCCTGATTTTTAAAATAAGATCACTGAATCAGCAGACTATAATCATTCAAAACTTAATTTCTCTGAGTTTACCTCTGATCATGAAGGTGCTCCCTAAATCTAATACTCTATGATTCTAAAAAACAGAAAAATTTATATTACTGATTACATGTATTGAGTTATTTTTTGGAGTTTAAAAGTCTGTCTTTTACCTTAGTCTACACTAAGAATCCACTCAAGGGGATACAATATAGAAGGGAGAAGAAACAGAACCCTTATCCTGAGTGCTCAGTATTGTCATCAAGCTTCCACCAGATGATGACTATGATTTCAAACATAATCTTCTCCATATCTGTAAAACGGTAAGTTTGTACCTGTAATACTTCTTGTTTTAAATTGGTTTTCTCAGATTCTTGTTGAACACTTTCTGAAGAATCATCAACCTCTTCCATATCTGAGGAGGAAGGACTCTCTAATGTCACAGTTACAGGAAAATCTGATTGCTTAAAGAAAGAAGACATGATTGTAGAAGAGATATTATAAATCAGATACCAAATACTACAGGATATTTTATGAAACTGATCTTTCTTAAGTATTAAGTCATTATAAATATCCTTCACAGTTTCTTAGTCTAAAATTAGCAATAAGAAAGTAAGATGACAGTAACTTATTCCTGCTGTTACTGTATGGGATGCTGTTGTACATGCTGGGATAAATATTTGGAAATGCCCATATTATCTTATTACATTTCCTTCACATACACCAAGTGAGAAACCAATGTGAACATTTTTTTCTCAGATCACCTTTATATCGCACTTAAGAAATTTATTTCCTATCATTAGACACAGAGTCTGGACTAGAATGTCATTATTAGGAGGAAATTATCATAAAGCAGGAAACTAATAAAGATTATAACTAAAAGTCAACATATTTAAATTGAATAATAAACATTATAAGTTTTAAAAACAAGCCCCATATATACAAACTAAAACTGATTCATTAAAAATCTCATATTTCGGGGCCTCCCCGGTGGCGCTGCAGGTTGAGCGCCAGTGCTGTGAGGGTGTCCGCACGCAGCCTCTGCAGCGCCAGTTGGATTCCCAGCCGGCCAGGGAGAAACCCACATGGCGCAGCAAACCTCTCCTGCCTTGCCTGCTGCTCCCCTCAGCATCCTGGGTCCGTCTGCCTGTCCTGTTCCCCGCTCTGCCTCTGGTGAATTCTCTCACCCTCCCACACCTCTGACCTGTACCCCAGTTCTTGTATAAATAAATAAATCTTTAAAAAAAAAAACCTCATATATCATCATCATTAAGCCAACATTAGTGTAATAACAACACAATTCTCCTGTCAAGTTTGACTGCCCCTGGGATTTGTTCAATATGACATTTCCAAACATTTAAAAATCAACTTGGCCACAACCATAAAAAGTCTACAGATCAAAAAGAAATATACTGAAATTATATAACTGTATAGAAGATATGTCACTAACATAAAACTTCAGCCACAAGCAGCAGCAAACCCTACAGTACGGGAAAATCACCCTTTCATCTGGGCATGTCAGGGGCAGTACTGACACCCAGGGTGCTCCTCTTTCAATCTCAGTAATGCTGTCTCTTACAGAGCAACGACACAGTCTCCCAGGACAACTGGAACGAAGAAACTAAAATGCTGACAGGACTAGCTTGCTCCTAGACTATAAGGTATTCTGACAGGGAATGTGTGTTGTCTTGTGAAAGAAACAGAAGTGCTCTCGGAGAGCAGAGGCTTTAGAGTTTGTTGCGTTGTTTTGGTTTCAGGATAGCGTGTTTGTGTGTATTTATGTATGTTCCCAAAACAAGGTACCTTGAAAACATATGGACATTTTTGAGTATAATAGCACCATGTGTTTGGGTCAGAAATGGAATTAAATTCATTTCGTTGGGTGACACCCATTTCACTGGGTGACAAGAAATGGTTTTCTTGTTTACAGCTGAAACAAAACGTCCCCAGTATGTGCAATATCCATACAACTACACAATGGCACTGAGCGATCTCACAAATTTTAAATGGATTTATTTTAGGAATGTTTCTTATAAGATTCTATTCAGTTTAAAAAGCAAAAAGAATGATCTTTCGGGCCTCCCCGGTGGCGCAGCGGTTGAGCGCTGGGTTGCGAAGCCTCTGCGGCCTCTGCGGCGCCGGTTCGATCCCCGGCTGCTCCCCAGCCACCGCAGGAGGGTCCCACATGGCGCGCAGACCTCTCCTGCCACCCGCTGCTCCCCTCAGCAGTGTACTTCGGTCCTTCTGCCTGCTCTGCTCCCCGCTCTGGCTCTGGTGAATTCTCTCACCCTCCCGCGCTTCTGACTGTACCCAGTGCATGTATAAACAAACAAACAAATAAATAAATAAATAGAAATTCATGCCTCAAAAAAAAAAAAAAAAAAAGAATGATCTTTCATCTTTCCCACTCTAACTCCCTATATATTACAAATATGATTTACATACCTGCAACTGATTACATACATCCCGAGTTTTGATTAATGGAAAACCTCTAAAGAGATAACAACAAATTAAGTTATATTTTGATGTAAAACACCACCAGTTAATCTCAGTTAATAAAATTTGTTAGAATTAGGTACAATATCCAGATAGACATTACATATATCAATGTATTCATATGTAGAAAAAGTCAAAATAAGGACCTAGAAATTTTCCACGGAGAAAAGTGAACAGAAGTTAGCAGATTGGCTTTTGCAATAACTCTTTGAATTGTTGAGATGTACCTTCAGCCCAATGTGCAGCATAGTTTCCAGTCTAACTTCTATTAATTGTCCTATTAATCATTTTCTAATTTATAATTCCTCATGCGCAGGATGGACTTAAGATTAATAAGTGTTGCAAGAATTAGTCATTCAGTCACAAAATCATAAAATTAAAGTGCAAAGACTGGGGCCTCAAGTACTATATTTTATATAGTAATAACTTTTTACCATGTGCAAAAATGTGTAGTAGTTAAATGCTCAAAGATTATATACATAAATTTATTATAAGCAACTGAACAGATAATTTTACCTAGTACTTATATCAAGTTTGATATAAAACCAACTGTTTTCTTAAGCAATGGTTAATACCAAATTTCTTGAATATATAAGTCATTTGAAAATTTATAGCAAGCTAATTCACTTAGTAAGCCTAAAATTATAATACAGCTATTTGAAAAACTTTTGTACTTCTATGACAAAAATTATTATGAACAACTATAAAAAACAACAGCAGCCTCCCAGAAAGGGGCCTCCCTGGTGGTATAGGGGTTAAGTCTCAGCACTATCACAAGGGCACACAGAGGCCTGAGTCCTATCTCGCCTGCTGCTCCCCTCAGCAGTGTATTTCGTAGATTTGCCTGTTCTGCTCCTCACTGTCTCTGGTGAAACTTCTCAACTGCCCTCCCCACCCCAACCCCGGCAACCTAGTCTATACCTCAGTACTTCTGTGCATTTTTAAATAAATAAATCTTTAGGAAAAAAGAGAAACCTTCCAGAAATTAGAAGTTCTAAAATAAAAATTCTGAATGACTAAAGATAAGGAAAGAAAATACTCTACCTATTCCTTTTTGCACGCTCTGCAGTTCGCCAAGGCAGGAAACCAGAGACACCAGGTGGGAGAGGTTCTGGAGCATAGCATTCTTTACCAAGGGAGTGTTTAATTCCATTATTTACAGGTTTCTTTGTAGCCAATCCTATATTTGAGAAGCATTTAAATAAAGAAATCAAGGTGCACTGAAAGTCTACAGAGCAATGATCACATGTGTACAATCTGAAAAATAATTCACACGGGCACTTAATGGTGCCAAGGTTATTAAAAACAGATCATTTTGTAAAAGTGTTTTCACATGGGGCAGGCAATGTTTAAAAATCCTCTATTATGGGTGTTTTGGCAGTGGGAGTGCTACAGTGACTACAGGGGAATTCTATGCAGTCACAAAACACTAGCAAGGATATAAAATAACAGTACTTCAATAACAATAAATAAAAATAAAAGTCCTCTACAATAAGTTATTTTAACTAAAATAAAAGTATATGAGATAGGCAGGATGTACAAAAGTAATTAACAACATATCCAAGATTAAAGAAATGATTACATATAACCTTCAAATTTATTTTACTACAAAGATCAACTTCAGGAGTATAGGTAATATAAAATAAATATTTCACATAATGTAGCTTTTTGATGATCACAAATTCAGTATGATTTCTCTAAATAAATGTACCTGTGTCTTAAAATATTGAGTTTGGCTCATCTTGTGCTATTATGTTTTCTAACTTAATTACTCCCCAATAAAGAATGTTCCTTTGTGTGGGTTATATGTGTACACCTTTACTTTCACACGGCAGTTTGCTGGAGCTGGCTTCCGGCACTTTTGCAGTTAAAACTAAATTATTTACACTTAATTCTAATAAAAAAATTCCTTCATAATCAAAATTCCTTTCTTCTTTCTGCATACATAATTATGCTACGAATATGGCAAAACTTATAACTCACCAAAATCTAACCATAATCTAACTATACAGCCAGACACTGATTTGGCTTACCTCTACGTCTCCAAATAACTGAGGCAAATACAAAAAAAGCCCAAGAAACAAATTACCCTTTAAATAGCTAAGTGAGATTATAGATTTCTCACATTTCTACTTTGTTTATTCATGCTAAGTAAAAAAGTTTTAAACTGCTTTATTCTCATCTAGTGAAGTCCCATTACATACTATCAGATACTAAAATACAGAATTTCTAAGAATATATATATATATATATAAAACTAGTGTGATGTCACAAATCTCAGCTTCTCTGTATGTACTATTTGACTGAAATAAAAACCAGTAAATAAATACTAAGCTCTCTTTAGATTTAATACTCTTAACAATTGCCATTTAACATTAAAATATTATTGACCAAACAAAAACAAATATACATCTTTTAATAGTAAAAAATGAAAATAGAAAATGCCCTTTAATAGTAAAAAAACAAGTTACATTTGAGGACTTTACAGTGGTTATTTTAAAAATTACTTAGTATTTAAGTTGTGAATGTATTAAAATGTGTAACTATGAATAATATTTTAATTTAATATGAAGTAAAAAAGAATGACAAATTACACTTCAGATATGCGGAATTATGTTTCTAAACAACGGAGGAGAAAAGGAAAACATATATATTGCTTGATGGAATAATGGAACTGGAGTAGTTCCTGCTTTGAATGCTATTCTAGCATTCTCTTATAAGAATTATATGTATTTTGGGCCTCCCTGGTGGCACAAGTGGTTAAGTCTCAGCACTATGAAGCTATCTGCAGCCATTGCAGCACGAATTCCAGACCCTGGCCTGGGAGCTAACTCACATGGCGCAGCAGACCTTTCCTGTCTCGCTCACTGCTCCCCTTAGCAGTGTATTGCAGTAGCTCTGCCTGTTCTGTTTTCCACACTGTCTCTGGTGAATCCTCTCACCCTCTCTCCCTGTCCCCTGTATCTCTGGCCTGCACCCCCAGCTCTTGAATGCATAAATAAAATAAATCTTTAAAAAAATATGAACTATATGTATTTTAAGTTAATTTCCATCATTAAAAGAGGCAAGAGGCAACCTGATTCAATAACTTTAGGTAAAAATGTACAAGGAAATCAGGGAATAGTGGAACTGGGGGGAAAAATTGTTTCTTAAAGCACGGGAGGATAATTCTTCACTGAAAAAAAAAAAAAATTATCACTCAAAAATACCACTGCTAAATTATCATCAAAGTTCACTCCAAATTTCAACTGCAAAGTATTAGAAGTAATCATTAACCAGGAAATATAGTCAAAATAATCAACTTTTTATGAACTACAAGCAGCAAAGTTGGTTAATTAAAACAAAGGAAACATTTGCATCTCTTCCTTTCAATTCATTTACTATTTTTACATTCTATAAATTCTTATAATCTATGTTGATGGATGGAACTAGAAGGGATCATGCTCAGCGAAATGAGCCAGAAAGAAAAAGAAAAATACCAGATGGTCTCACTCATAGCAGGAATTTAGAAAACCTAAACAAGGGACCAGGAAAAAGACTAATTAATACAAAGTAAAAATCAAAATCAACAAGCAACTATAAACCAGAGACACACTACAACCGGGGAGAGTGGGGGGTCGGCGGGTAGAGGGAGGATTAGGGTCAAAATAAGGGTGGGTACAATTGTATGGGGAATATAACCAAAATGAAAATGCATACATTGTGCAAAAATGAAAAATGATGTAAGAATTAAATAAAATATTTTTAAAAATACCAGGAAAAAAAAATTACCAGAAAAAAAAATTCTTATAATCTATGTTGGAACAATTACAGTCTTCCTAATAAAGCATTTTGTTAATATAGGTTGTTTTCATCAATATCATACAATAAGAAGAAACTTTAAGAGATAAAAGCCAAGATAGAAAAGGTTACCAATTCGAATAGTAGCTTTTCCTTTTCGACCACTTCCCAGAACTATAGTTCTCCTTTTCTGTTTAGCAGTTTTAAATGGTTCCTTTGTTGATGGAGAAGTTATCCACTGGTACTGGAAGAGAATTAATAAATGTCCCATTTTAGTTATAGGTAATTTAGGAGGGATTGAAATTAACTGGAAATAGTTAAGATATTTTAAATTAATAAAAGGTATTCAATCTTCATTTCTGAGACCCCAAATTAATGAATAGCATAATATTTGCAATAACAGAATAGCGATTTGATATGAGTGAAAATTTAAGATGGCAAAAAAGTACCTGACAATTTTACTTAAAATTTTATTTTATTTACTTTATTTTTTTTTTAATAGAGGCATGTTTTATTTATTTATTTGTTTGTTTGTTTGATGGTTTGTTTATACATGCACTGGGCACAGTCAGAAGCACGGGAGGGTGAGAGAATTCACCAGAGCCAGAGCAGGGAACAGAGCAGGCAGAAGGACCGAAGTACACTGCTGAGGGGAGCAGTGGGCGGCAGGAGAGGTCTGCGCGCCATGTGGGACCCTCCTCCTGTGGCCGGGGAGCAGCCGGGGATCGAACCGGCGCTACAGAGGCCGCGGGCAGCTTCGCAACCCAGCGCTCAACCGCTGCGCCACCGGGAAGTCCCTTATTTTATTTTTTAAAATTTATTTATATATAGGGCCTCCCCAGTGGCTCAGCGGTTGAGTGTTGGGCTGCGAAGCTGCTTGTGGCCTCTGCAGCCCTGGTTCTATCCCCAGCTGGCCGGTGAGGGTCCCACATGGCGCGCACACCTCTCCTGCCACGCCTGCTGCTCCCCTCAGCAGTGTATTTTGTCAGTCTCTCTGTTCTGCATCCTGCTCTGGCTCTGGTGAATTCTCTCACCCTCCTGCGCTTCTGACTGTACCCAGTGCTTGTATAAATAAATAAATCTTAAAAAAAAATTTTATTTATATGTATTTTACATCAATGTTCATTTTTAAACAATGTCTGTTTTCTTTTCTCAGGTGTAGTCCCTGTAGAATTTCCACCACCAATGCACCCATGCACTGTTACCATAGTCCCCTGTGCTCCTCCCTCCCTCATTCCGATCCCTTTCTTACCCCCTCCCCTGCAGAAAGTCCCTGGTTTATAGTTGTCTGTTTTGTTTTGTTGTGTTTTTTATTGTTATTATTTTTTCCCCTGATGCCTTATTTGGTTCCCCTATAATCCTCCTATAAGTGAAACAATCTGACATAAAATTTAAAAAAAAAAGAAAAGCAAGCAACCATTGAAGAGAAACTCCTCCTAGAGAACTTGAACATGTTATACCTCTGACTTGAAACTCCTTCCATTTTGGAGAACTTTTTTGATAACTGCTTTCATCATGGAGTGATCTAAAGTAAAATGCAAATTGAAATTATAGTCATTGTTACTCAGAAGTGGCTATTGACATCTAAAAACAAAAGTCCACTAGCTATTGCTTTTCCCATAAAATTAAGAATGTGTAAAATCCACATTATGTAATTATGTACCTCTCTGAGAATTCAAACTTCTTCCTCAAAATCTAAGAAGAAAGCATGCTACCTTGCATTGCCCCTAGAGGCTAATATTTTGACAGCAGTAAAGAGCAAATCTAAATACTTTGGATACAAATTGACTTTGGATATCTTTGAACAGAAAACAAAGCACCTAGGCCCTGTCCAGACACTTAAATATCTTCAGGGCATCCAATACAGCAGGCCAAAGTCCTAATACTCCCCTCTCCTCGCCTTAATTGCCTCTTCTTAGTAAAGGTACCATCTAGCTGCACACATAATCACAATTATTCAGGACGTGTTTCTTTTTTCTTTTCAATATGAAGTCATGTAATTTATAAAAGATGTAACTTTTTATAATGATACAAAACATATTCCAAATAACATCTACAAGTGAGTGTATTTAACCATACTCAATTTGTAACAGAACAAATGGGTGAGGGGAACATTACATGCAATAGCATGTTTAATGAACTGGTACTACAGAGCTGGTTGCAGGACAGCAAAAGCAAAGGAAGAATTAGGGGATCCATAAATCATGTGGTATCTCCTTAATGTTGTACCTATGATTAGAAACGTACATGATGCTAACTCCAGGAATCTTCTAGATTTGTTTAAAGTCCTGCCAACCACGGCCATAATGCAATACTTTTGCTGAGTTACCATGTATTAAGCAGTATTCTGAATACTTTCCTTTGCATGGTAATCATTCAAATCTTGCATCCCTACTGATCCTTAGAGCTATAGCACCACAGACACTTCTGCCCCAGTGTCTCAATCTTAGCCTTTACACAATCAAGGGAGACCCTTGGCATACAGTCCATCACCAACTATACTAAGTCCAGTTTGGCTTTAACAGAAAAGTCGATAAAAGTTGGCACCAACAAGCATATGGTAAAGTTGTATGTTGTATTGGAAGAATAAAGAGGACGGGTTTTAGGGGCCTCCCTGGTGGCACAGGAGTTAAAGACACAGCTTGATCAAGCTATCTATCAGCCACTGCAGCAAGAGTTCGATCCCCTGCTGGCCAGGGAGTAACCCACATGGTGCAGCAGACCTCTCCTGTCTCGCCAGCTGCTCCCCTCAGCAGTGTATTTCAATAGATCTGCCTGTTCTGCTCCTCATTCTGTCTCCGGTGAATCCTCTCACCATCTCTACGCCTCTGGTCTATACCCCATTTCTTGTATGCATAAATAAATAAATCTTTAAGGAAAAAAAAAGAGGAAGGGTGTTAGGTAACGCCTCTTTTCCTTGAGTGCACCGGGATCTCTTCTTTCTTCCTAGGCTTTAATCTATTCTTAAGTTTCTGATGTCTAAGACTGAGCATTTACTTCATGGTCACATACTTCTTGCTTTCTTTTGTTTCTCTGCACTCTTCTAGGACTTGTTACTTTACTATTTCTTTCATATTCTAGATCTATCTACAAATCTTGTTAACAATATCTTCAAAATATAACTCATTTCAACCAGCTTTTACCCCTTTCATCCTAAGCTCAGTTATTAATCATCTTTTATTTGGACCAGTCTCTGAACTAGTCTCCCTGTTCCCTTCTTTATCTCAGAAGTCTATTCTCGACACTACAGTCATTGAAACACAATTTGAATCATGTCTTTTTCAAGTTCAAAACCCTCCTATGGCTACCTGTTCATTTAGAATAAAACCTGTCCTTACTCTGGCCTTCAAGATCTTACAAGATTAGGTCCTAGACAGTACCTTGATCTCACAGTAAACCCCAATGACCCTCACTCAATGCTCCATTCATGTGGGTCTCCTTGCTTCTCCTTAAAATAATCCATTCACTTAGCACTGCATGCCTGCAGACTCCTTGTGTCCTTGTCCTGGAATAAGCTTCTCCCAGATCTTCCATGGTTTGCTCTTCTCTTCACTTAGAGCTCTGATCAAATGTCAGTTTTCTAGTGAAACTGTCCCCTGACACACCTATTTAATATCTATTCCCTATTAGATAGACCTATCTATATACCTGTCCCCTCAGTGTTAGTACGTTAAGATTTTTTGATCCTCCTACTACCTAAAATTAGATAACTTATCTGTTTTCTCAGTTCTATCTGACTTCCTTCATGAGAATGTAAGCTCCACAAGGGCAAGAATATGTCTGTTTTACAATTATATTCCTACTGCCTAACCCCATGTCTAGCACATAGAAGGCATCAATAAACTATCAATAAATGAATTAAATGCTCTCTCCAAGAATTCAGAAGTTCCACAAGAAGGAAATAATGCTCTTGGTAGAGGTTCTTCTCTATTCAGAATAACAGCCAAGAGCAACTGACAAGTATCACTTATTTAAATTAGTAAGTTATCTGTGAAAAGCATAAGGGAAGTGTAAGATTAGAAAAGTATAAGAATAGGGTTACTCAACATATTAGGTTTTAAAAATAGCTATAACATGAACAAATTGTTTTGCTATTTGCTAATCAATAAAAAAGAAATGTGGTGACTTACCAACAAGTGGATTTTTTCTTATATCCAAAACAACTAGAGTTCTATTGGTTTCAAGGGCCTTTAGTAAAGTCTTTGCTCCTTCGTTGGTAAGGCCACACTGCTGCAGGTCAAGTGCTTTTGATGAAAGACAAAAGATCACTTGTCAACTCCATACAGACATTACTAGACAACTTTCACTTATTTATGCATAGAAGATTCCTACACAAGATTAGCCAGTCTTTTAAAACTTTTTTCTTGGGAATTGAAATTTTTAAGTATCGGTTACTGGAGAAGAAGCCCCAGAAAAGTATAAGCACACACCTAGTACAAAATCTAATAAAAATGTCTTATTAGATGTGCCATAATTATCCTGCCTTTAGTACCAATAAATTACCCAAAATATTTTACAAGTACACAAAAACTATAATCTATGAATGAAAAACATCAAAACTCCATTCTCAGTTCATAATTATGAAAGATGTTAATGGCAGTGTGAATCTCATAGGTAAAAACTGTGTGGAGTTCAGAAAATGCACTGCATCCTTTTAATCCTGATCTTGGGCTCCAAATCACTCCTGAAACTAGTTAAAAGGGGAAAACAAAAAGGAAGATATGTAATAAATGATAGCTTTAGAAAAACAACAAAGAAGGAATTCTAAGAAGATACAAACATTGACAAATCCAAAAAATACAAATAAAGAATATATGCTATAAACCTATCCTAAAGAAGGATGGTCAAGAGCTCTTGCTTGATAAAAGTTCAAAGAATAGAACAAATGATTATAAACACTAGTAGTTGTAAGCTTGAACAACCTACTCATTTAAACCAAAAGGATCATCACAAAAGCACAGGTTAAAAAAAAATGCATAGAGAAAACAGTAATATGAGCCTTATTGAAGTGTTAGGTGTATCATTACATTAAAATAATAGGAGTCTTTCAAAACCCATGACACAAAGAAAGTCAGATACATAGATCTGACAGGCAATGACACAATCCTTAAACTCTTAATACACAATAATGATGCAAGACATAATTAACCAACTGGCCAAATTAATAAAAAAAGCCAGTAAAGGTCACTAGCAAATCACAAGAATACAAAATAAAACAATAAAAAAATGTAAAATCTGGAGTAGTCCCACTTACATGAAAAAGGGTGTACTCATTTTTGTGGTTTTATTTTAAAGTGACACAGGTCACTATGGACTATAACTTATCACAGCATTTCTGGAAGGCAATTTAGCAGCATGTATCAAAAGTCCTAAAGTTATGTCATACTTAGTCATTCCACTCTCAATAACTTATTCTACAGAAATAATCCACCATGAGCACAGAGATGTATGTACAAAGTCCTGTCCACACATTATTCCCAACAGGGAAAAAGCACAAACTATCTAAATCTCATTATAAAGATCTGATTTAACTATCTGCACATCAATATAATCAATACAATAAATACATCATTAAGTAAGATATGCAAGAATATGAAATAATACAATGTACATACGTATACAAATAGAAGCAAATATATAGATACATTATAGAAATATATTTATAAAAATATAGAATAGAGAAATAGAGAAAAAATACAGAAAAATATATTTATAGGGAAAAAACCCTGAAAGTACATACACCAACATGAACAGCGATTACATCAGGCTACTAAGATTATGAGTAATTTCTTTTTTGTTACTCTGTATTTTTCATAAAGAATAAATGGAATTCAGAGACTTTTAAAAGTACAATAAAAACTACTAGAAAAATGAGGCTTAAAAAAATCCCATGACAACAATATCATGCCGAAAGTTAAGCATATTTAATATTGAAAAATCCAGTATTTTCAAATTTAGACTTTACCTCTAAGCCACAGATCCTCACTAAGAGATTCTGCAAAAGCATTTGCACCAAGGTCACCAATGAGTGTGTTGCAATTCAAAGTGATGCGCCTCAAGCCAGCCATACAGTCAAGGTCAGGTCTTCTGTATCGAAGACTCTCAGCCCAGGTTTCTTCATGCCTCCTTATGGTCTGATACTTCATAGATTTAAAAGGATGAAAGTAAGATGTTTGAGTAAGGAAACAAGGTATGCCCACTGAATATGATTTAGAGATTTATACACATACACCAAGTATATATGCCAAGGCAGTGAACCTGAGGGATTAAATAGTGGATTCTGGTTTAGGAGTCCAGTGATCTGAATTCCAGTGTGATAGTGATTACTCCCTAGCCACTGAATGACCTACTGCTGATTAGTTATGTCTACCTACTCTGCCAACTCAACTGTATGTATTCTATGAATTTTATTTTTCTTATCTTCCAAGACAGGCAATTAGTTCCAAATTCTATCATTGCTGAGGCTCTAAATTCTACCACCCTGTCCTCCAGTGGTCTCTAAACATTTGATTGGGCATTCAACAAATAAATATTTTTAACATGTATCTTATTTATTAATATATAAGTTCTGTACATATATATTATGTACATTATAAACAACATAAATATTTTAAATGATACAAAAATAAATATAGAAGTTCTATTTTTTTTTAAAAGATTTATTTATTTTTGCATACAAGAGGTATAGGCCAGAGGTGTAAGGCCTAGAGTCTGAGTGGGGAGCAAAACAGGCGGACTGACTGAAATATACTGCTGAGGGAAGCAGCATGCAAGAAAGGAGAGGTCTGCTGCGCCATGTGGGTAGCTCCCTGGCTGGGGCTCAAACTCGTGCTGTAGTGGCTGCGGATAGCTTCATAGTGCTAAGACTTAACCCCTTGCGCCACCAGAGAGGCCCAAAAGTTCTAATTTTTCCTTCTCCTAATCCAATGAGCCCTGCATACAACTTAGGATAAGCACACCAAACTTTACAGGCCAGGAATATGCAAAGTTGGTTTGACATGCCTTAGGATATCAATGGCTTGATTTTAACCACAGGTATTGTCTTAAAGACATATTCAGTTCTCTATATTTATAAAACAAATTTTGGTAACAAGGAAAACTGACTAAAAGAAAAAAAATCTGGGCCTCCCTGGTGGCACAATGGGTTAAGACGCAACCTATGAAGCAATCTGTAGCCACTGTAGCTCGAGTTCCATCCCCAGCCAGGGAGGTGACCCACATGGCGCAGCGGACCCCTCCTGTCTTGCCCACTGCTCCCCTCAGTAGTGAACTTCCATCCATCTGCCTGTTCTGTTCCCCTCTCTGTCTCTGGTGAATCCTCTAACCACCAACCCGCCCCCCCCCCCCCACCTCTGGCCTATATCCCAGTTCTTGCATGCATAAATAAATAAATATTTTTTTAAAAAAAGAAAAAAAATCTTACTCCATTCTTAAACAACCAAAAAACCCCCTCATAGTTCCTAGAACACTCTAAAGAGAAAATCATTAGTGATATTTTTCTATTAATAAAAATGCACAAAAGCAAGAAGAGGAAATAATAGCACTTAATACTTAATACATGCCAGACACCATTTCATACAAATTAGCTCATTTTAATACCTCATAATGAGGTACAGAAGTTAAGTAATTCATCCATGGTCATGAGCTACTAAATCAGAAAAAAAGGATTTGGACCTCACTCATTTGGCTTTAGAATTTATGCTCTTGATCATTTTCTATACTGAAAGTCAATAGACCTAGTTTGTCCAGGCCTGATAAAATTTTCACCTATGCAGGCCAGTTTCTGTTGCAATTACTGAACTCTACTGATGAAGGGTAAAGGTACCATAGTCACTATGTAAACCAAAGGGCTTGGCTATATTCCAAAGAAACTTTATTTACAAACATAGGTGAGAAGCTGGACTTGGTCCACCTGCCATAGTTTACCTAATTCCTCATCTTAACCATCAAACTCTTAAAAAAGCTTCACATCAAATTATTAATTTATGCCTAAATATAGTAGCTATAACCACTCTAAAGTTAAAGCATTATTTAAAAACTACATTTACAAAATGCTAATGTAGTGATTTTTATTAGATTGTAAAATATAGCAGTAAACAATAAAGCTTCTCCTTTAAGAACTTCAATGACTGTACTAGCATAAAGTTTCTTCACAGTACCACAATAAACATTGTCAGTAATTAAAAAATGTATAAAAGCATTGTTCTTGAAGTTTTATGTTAAAATCTCTTACTTCTTAGGTAACTTTTACTAACGGTTGAACCCCAAACTGAAGCTTGTAAGACTATTTCAACAAAACTAAAGCTACAATCATCACGTGTCAAAAGACAAAAATAAATACCATCCTGTATCAAATTATTAATGTGCTTCAATCACATAATATGTTTTCATTAACATTTAAACATAAAATCACCTTTAAGATCTTGGCCATGTGATCTGCTCCCTGCCATGTCAGATTACACCCCGTGAAGTTTACTGTCTTAAGAGTGATAGAGTTCTTTATACCTTGACAAATAACTAAAAGGGAAAAAGACCACACACGATAAGATGAAGAGCCCATACAGCCTGGCCAATTTTATTTATTCACTTTTCTTGAATTTACTAGATGCTTTCGGTTGTACTCTTAAAATCATTATTTACAATTTTGTCAGGTAACTGATGGATTGGTACATTCTAAAATATTTCAGTAGCAGAGTGTTACTCTAGTTTGCAGCATAGTTTAGTTCTTCTTAGATGCTAAAATTAAATACTCTTAATACTGCAAACTTTATTCCCAACCACCGAGTACAATATGTACCTATTGAGCCACACAAAAGAAAAATCCTAAAAAGTATAAAACTCTTCCTATTTTCATTTCCAGAGACATACCTTGATTTTTATCAAGATATTTAAATATCAACCATTAACTCAAAACATTACATGGTATGTAATATACCAGAGCAGTAAAAGACAAAGGATCTAAAACACTTGGTTCCATCAAAGTGAAATACATGCTTCCTTACCCCTCCAGACCACAACTGCACATAGTGAACATACACTGAATTCTTCTGGACCCCACCCACTCAACAGTCACCTTCTCTGTGATTACTTCCATTATACAGTTCCATCAACACTACTGTGTTTGCTGTCTTTTAGTGTGTTTGCTGGTCTATTATACGCTTCCATAGCACTTTGCATATATTTCCTGTTTTAGCACATATATATAATGCATTATAATTACGACTGCATATAGATGTTTGAGATTTTAAAAGATGGTGGCTTTTCTTTCTATTTATATCTTGCTATTTCCCTTCCCATAAATTTCTTGAATTAAAATTAAATAATATTCTTGAAATATATATTTGTATGGCTTGTGATATCATACAGCCTTAAGTAAAATCAGTTCAGAGTATCCATCCAACATGCCAAGCTTTCACAGTACAAGTGAGACTGGATTAAGGCTTAAACAGGCACAGGAGAAAATTCAGGGAAAGGTACTAGCAAGAAAAGGCACAGACAGGAATTGATACAGTATGTATGGAGTCTTGAGACTAGTCTGATGGGAAGAGACGTAAACAAGATTGGAACTCACTTTCTAAACCTCCATCTCCAATAGGACAATTTGCAAGAGACAGGTGCACCAAAGTAGCAGATTTATTCAATCCCTTTAATGGAAAGAAAAAATTTTAAAAATTACTAAGTTTAGTTACTCCAAAAAGCAACTCTCAAATATTCCCAGGACAGAATGGAGGAGGCTTACCTTTGTTAAAATAGTTAAATCTCTCTCTCTCAGAACTAGTCCATTTAGCTCCAGGTTCTTTAGAGCACTTGATGCACTTAAACAGCATTTAAGAGCTTTACACAACTGGAAGGTCACATCTTTGTTTCTTATTGCCGGAACACGGCTTCTGCAAACTTTATTTCTGTCAGAAGCTAAAGCAAAAATAATGTAAAATCAGCACTTTCAATAACACATTTTGTCATCAGTAAAGCATCTGCTCTGTGCTAAGGCACAGAATAAATAACTCCTGCCCTTAAAGTCCTCTTTACAGTGGACATGTAAACTCAAAATTTCAACCATATGAGATATAGGAATAAACTATGGGCTTAGAGGTTCTTAAGAAAGCAAAAAGCCGGGGAGGGTCCCACATGGCACAGACCTCTTCTGCCTCGCTCGCTGCTCCCCTCAGCAGTGCATTTCATCGGTCTGCCTTTTCTGTTCCCTGCTCTGGCTCTAGTGAATTCTTTTACCCTCCCGCGCTTCTGACTGTATCCAGTGCTTGTATAAATAAGGAAAAAATTTTTAAAAATTAAAAAAAAGAAAGCAAAAAGCTACATGATGGCTTCAAGAGCACCCTGAAGTTGAATTTATAAAGAGAATGACTATATAGCAAGAGTGGGTGGTACATCAACCGTAGAGAGAGCACATATGTAGACATTCAAGCTTGACACCTGTGGGGATGTAAAAACTGCAGGTGGGCATCACCAGAGGCCAGGTATGCATGCCAGAGAAAGGAGAGAATTTAAAATAGAGAGGTTGGTTGAGCAAAACTGGGACAGTATAGATTTTAATCCGTAAGTGATAGGGACCAAGGCTATCACTGGCATAGCGTCCTGCAGGTTAGAAAAAGGTTTCCTGGGGCTCCCTGGTGGCGCAGGGGCTAAAGTCTCCCCACTATCAAGGTATGGCCAGCCACTGCTGTATGAGTTCAATCCCCAGCCAGGGAGATAACCCACATGGTGCAGCAGACCTCTCCTGTCTCACCCATTGCTCCCCTCAGCAGTGTATTTCAGTAGATTTGCCTGTTCTGCTCCCCACTCCGTCTCTGGTGAATCCTCTCCTCACCTCTGGCTTACACCCCAGTTCTTGTATGCATGAATAAAAAAAAAAAAAAAAAAAACCTTTAAAAGAAAAAGAAAAAGGTTCCCCTAGCTAAAGGACCAATTAGATAAAGGGAATGATTGGACTAGTTTAGAAATGATTGGGATCCTCAGGGATAATTAGTCCCATGAGGCTTATATAACAGATCAGATTGCATGTCTTGCTGTATAATACAAACTGTAAAGCCAATATGCACTAATCCTGAGTAGGCAAGTCCTTATAAGCATTATTTCAAGCATTATATTTTCATTTGAGAAGATCATTCAAGTGGAACAGGTATACGAATTAAGAGACCCTGAGCTCAGGGACACCAAAACCAGTGAGGCACTTCTGCAACAGTCCAGGCAAAAAAGAATTTAAAGATGAAAAAGCACACCTAGGAGGTTAAATTCTACAAACTAGATCCACTAGGTGCAAGAGCTAGAGGAGGTGGAGTGAAGAACTCAGAAAGCTATGGTGTTTTTTCTTACATTCAATGTAAAATATTAGGCATGATCAAATATGCTGGTCTTAAGTATGCTCTTAGGTCCTAACTGTAATTTCTTTTGATTTCTAAGTTTTTATTTTGGTTAAGTAAAGTTCCTGCAGAAGTAGAGCAGTTCCTACACCTGAATCAGAAGACGATAATAAGCTGATTTCTCATCACCAGGGTTAAGTTGAACTGTCCTTGCGGAAGAGACAATAGATAGTGCTAACCCCAGAATCCAGAAAAGGGCCAGGTCATTATTACGTTGAGGTTTTATTGAATAAATCAAGAATCATTTCTTCAGATCTTCACACCCTTTCTTTGTTGACTCCTTTTCCTCAGTTTAAAAACATATTCAAATCTACCATAAAAAAAGATCTTTCATTTATAATTTCCTTAATTCCTTCTCTGTGGGTAACCTAAAGTTTCTCCCATGTCTTCAAACATCTGTGCTACCAAATCTTAACCCTGCACCAAGACCTGCCTACCAGATACCTTCAGAAGTCCCACAGACACAGCATTAAAGATGAAGTAAGATCTTTTCCTGTTATTAATCCCTTCCTGCTGTGCTGTGTCTTGGAGACTATGCTGCTGTAAACTGACATCCAAGTTTCTGCCTTGGTCACCAGGCAGCATCCATTGTTTCTTTGATGTCTGACATGCAATTCTGTTTTTTTATTCCTTAACTTGAGCCCTTACATTATAATTCACTCTCCTCCCAATCAACTGCTTTCCATATGGAGATGAGAGTGAGTGCTAAAAAAAACTTATCCTTTGAAGTTTCCTACAGCCTTCAGGAAAAATATTAAACTCTTATATATGAGGAAAAAGGGCCCCCTCTCCTGCTTGATCCCCACCAGATTTCCAGTCTCAACTTTCACTTCTTTCTCAAACCTTAAATTCCAATCCTGTATCTCAGTTTTGCCATAACCTCTTAACATTTCTCAAATACTGACACAGTTGTCCCATCTTGCATTTGGGTAGCTTCTACACATCCTTAGAAAGGATGGCACCTCCTCCAAGACGACTTCCCTTAACCTTCCCTTCTAATATTCTGTGTTTTGCAGCAAGAAAGCTCATTTCTTCCAGAGAGGTTGGTTGAGCAAAACTGGTACAGTACCTATAAGTGATGGGACCAAGGCTACATTGGCATAGACTCCTGGACTTGTGTTTTCCTGTTGCCTCCTCCAGGGAGATCCTTTAGGGCAGGTGCCTGGGCTCCAGCAGTGCTTGGTGCTGATAGCTCAGGTAGGAGCCATTACACTTTACAAACATAACCTCCTCAATCCTAAGAATTCAGGGAGTTTTTAATGTCATTTTACACGTGTGGGTTTGTAGTTAAAAAATAACATGTCCAGATCACATAGAGTATTAGCCCTGGAATTCAAACTCCAGGCTGCCTTCTCAACTGTGCTCTTTCAAAACTGAAAGAAGAAAAGTAAGGGAGGTATTAATTTTTTACTCTATGTTCATGTCAGGCAAAGACATTTCGGTAAACCTTATGAAGTCGCAAACTGTGGTAAGTGTATTACAAGCATTAACTCGGCGAATCCTTGCTTTGCAATCTCCACATACACTGGGAGCTGTTAATCCCGTATTGTGGATAACAAAACTGAGACCCCTAGGCCTTAAGGGATTCGCCCAGGAACATTGCGCAGGTGAGTTCTGGGCCGCACGCCCCGTCTACTGTACACATACCCGGGTAACAGGCACCGTTCCAGCGCCCAGCTCCACCTTGCACAGTTTAAAATCCCGCTTTGCACCGACACGAGGGCCACTGGAAGCGGGAACTACTAACCGGTTTCGCCAAGCCACGGCTGGAAGAAGCTCTTGATCGAGATCAGGGGCAGATCTTTATTAACCTTGAGGGTGCTCAGAAGGGGCGCCCAGTCCACTACGCGGAGGCGATCGGCGTTGAAGTCCAGGACGCCCTCCCGCAAGCAAGCGCGCACGGAGGGCAGCGGCACAGAGTCCTGCAGCGCACAAAGGTACTCGTAGTGCGAGAAGAAGTCCGCCGCGCTATTGCGGCGCAGCTTCACCGAGTCGATCATGCCAGAGTCGGCCTCGGGGGACGCCGGCGCAGGAGACAACGCCCCAACCTTGGAAGCGCTGGTCACCGATCTTCGGGTGCCCACGGCCCCGCGGCCGCGCGCAGGAGCGGCGGCTAGATCAGAAAACACAGGGCCCCCGGCAGCCACTGAGCCGGCCCCCTGACGCGACACTCCCGCGCCGCTTCCCGCCCAGACAAGCCGGCCGTTGGCGCCCGCCGCAGATCACTCGAACGCGCCGGGCTGCGGCTCCAGCTGATTGGCTGGTGCCCACCGGGGCGGGGCAAAAAGACGTCGGCGCGTTCGCTGTGCGTCAGCTAGCAGGCCCCGCCCTACGTGGGGGCGTGGCCCGAGGGGCGGTGCCTGCGAAATGCGGGAGATTTGAGAGGTAGGTCTTTTACGGATTTTGGGGTTACCAAAAGGGTATTTTGATTGCTCCCCAGAGAAGTGACACATATCTATTTCATCACCCATTTTATAAAGTGGTCTAAACTTATACGTGTCTGTGTTTGCACTGCCCGGGAGAGTGCAGGCAATAGGGGTGTGTGACTGTCTGGAGGAATGTCCTCTGAAGTCATTAAGTCTCTAATGTCCTCATTCATTTCTACAAAGAATTCTTAATTTCTGTAGTTTCTTTTTAAGATTTATTTATTTATAAATACAAGAACTGGGGTATACACCACAGGTGTGTGGGGGGGAGGTGAGAGGATTCACCAGAGACAGAGTGAGGAACAGAACAGGCAGACTGACCGAAGTACACTGCTGAGGGGAGCAGCGGTTGAGACAGGAGAAGTCTGCCGCGCCATGTGGGTAGCTCCCTGGCCAGGGATGGAACTCGTGCTGCAGTGGCTGCAGATTGCTTCACAGGTTGCGTCTCAACCGCTTGTGCCACCATGGAGGCCCCAATTTCTGTAGTTTCTACTTGACTCCCACAGTTATGGGGAGATTGTAAAGTGTTCCATGAATTCAGAACATTATTGTGATTACTATTAATCACTTTGTACCGACGGTGATGGTTAACTTTTGTAACTAGTTTTTGTCTCCAGCACTGTTTCGTTATGAAATCATTTAATTTTCCAAGCAACGCCAGAAGAAATGTGCTATTATATATCCACTTTACAAAAGAGAAACTGAAGCATAGGAAATTAGGCGATTTACAAGTAAATATGGAAGACCTCAGTTTGCTTCAGAACCTGTTTTTGTCTTCAGTTTCTACAATAATGATAGTGCGCTGGTCAGGCCTTTAGTATTATCTTCACTGAACTTCTCTTCCACCCACTGTATTCTGATACTGGTCTCTATCCTCTGCTCCTAGCCCCCATACATATACCTCTAAAATTCCCTAGACCTGGTCAATAACTATTTTTATATGAAATATGTCCGGATTTTAATATAGTAAACACATTTTATTTTTTCCAACTATTTCATGAAGTGAAGCATTACCAGTTCTGTTGAAGAGCCTATGTAACCATTCTCAATTACAACTACTCTATGACTGGACCCTATATGACCACTCCTATGAGCTTGGTATTCATTTTTGCAATGTATGTTTTTATATTCCTGCTACATATGTATTTCTTAAACAGCATATAGCATTCTACTCTATTTTTATCTTTGCTAGATTCAGCCATGCTGACATGGAGACATCTAGTTCCTGTACTTTACTTGCTATATAGGTTTCCAATGTAAGAAAATACAATATTTTCTCTATTTTCCTATTGATGGGAATTTAAATATTAATGGTTTGCAATTTTAGTATGATTTCTTTGTTCTACATCCATACTTTTTTTAGTCTCCGGCAACACTTATTGTAGTTGTCTAGTATCTTCTTAAAGTCCCCTCTCTTTTCCCTGTTTTCCATGAATCTTTTACAGATGCTTCTTCTTTACTTAGAACTCTCCTCCTCCATGCCCTCTTTAGGGCTTTTACTTCTTTCCCCAGTTTGGGGTTCATTTTCCCTGGGAGGGCTTTCCCTAACTTTCATATTTCCTCTCTGCTTGTTTAGCACCTCACTGCTCTGCTCCCTGACATCTCTGTATCATAACAGGGATATTTTTAGATGGTTTTCCTTCCGTCCACTTTAAACCCTTTGAAGGCAGGGCCCATGAATCATTCATGCTTATATTCCCTATGTCTTGGTACATAGGATATACTGAATAACGACTATAGGAATATCCTCCTCTGTTCTCCTTGCAAGTCATCACCAGCACCAGTGGCCACTGCCTACAGATGCAGCTCAGGGAAGACTATGAGACTAATTGATCATTTGACATATTAATTTAAAATTTCTTTTCCCCGTGATTATTTATTTTCTGTCTGGCAAGATTTCTTTCAAGGTTTGCCTGATAATCTCTTTTCTATTTCCATTTAATTTTGGTGTAATAGTAGTTTCAGTTCTTCTTTCAGCATCTGGTGGGCTCTATACATGTGCTTCCCTGCACATAGTGAAAGCTGCCTGCCCACAGCACCTTTGGGATTCACTGTCAGGCTAAGTCCATGTCCGGTCATTGACAAAATGCCTTAGCTTTCTTTCAGGCCTGCCTACTTGTAGTTGCTCCTTGTGGGTGCTGTTCTTGCACATGCAATATTCTTCCCTTCCATTTGTACCAGATTAATGCCCCCAATTGTATTTTTAAAATCAGTTATAGTGTTCTTAACACCATTATTTAAGAGTGTAGATGCCTCCCATTGTCATTATTTTTATTTTGTTGTTTTCCATCCAACATTTTTTTTTTTAATTCCATCAGCATTGCCAGGACTGGTGCCCTGCATTCCCCTTCATTCCCCTACAGTAATGCTCCATAACTGTACTGAGTTGGGGTTCCTTTCAGGGATTTTTTGTTGTGGCATTTATACTGTGTTCTTCTATCTCATTTCAGTTTCATATGCATTTTAGCAAGGATAAATTTTCAAGTGCTTTTGTACTTATTGGAGTAGGGGGTCTGGTATTACCAGGTATTAGTTAGAAAAGAGGATCTGGGCAATAGGCATCAAAGGGCCACCTCCAATAGACTTAGGAATTTGAAATACCTATTGTAAACCGTTTCTTTGTGGAGATGGCAACTGTTTCAGATACCTCAGCCTGGCATAGGGAGTGGCAGTTATTTTGGATGTCTCAACCTTGGGTGGGGGTTGGCAGGCCTTACAGATATCTCTGCCTGGACTACAGTAATAGCTTTTCTATAAGGAAGTCCAGGCACTATGGCCCAATTCAGCTATTGCTATTCAGTGTAAGCCTCAGATTCAAGCCAGTAGTCTTCACTCTGTGCCCTCTCCTCTGTCACTCTCTCTTAGTGCACACTCCATCCTTGGTGCCTGCTCTTCCACCCCATTATGCAGTGCAGTGCTGGGTCTCAAGGAACCCTGATGTTAGTGTGTGCCTAAGTCGGTAGCTGTAAGCGACTCTGCTCCACAACTCTCTTCCCTCTATGGGTTGTACTGCTCCATTATTACTTTAAACAAAGTTCACTTGGAGTTTTTAATACCCTTATAAGTTGGACTGACACTTCTATTTTATATGCTGATAATCAGTTTTTCCCTCATGGGTTTTGGGCTTTGTTTTTGCGTCTGTTTTGTTGTGTGTGTTTGGAAGACGTGATCTTGGATTCCCTTTGTCTTATATTTAATACAAGCTTAAGGAGATGTCTTTATGGCACATTACCAAACTTATTTTGGGAAACCTTAACCATGTGAAATGTGCTGGAGAGGCACCAAGAATGCAAGATTCCTCAAAACTTATGAATACACAGTTCCCTTACATGTATGCTCATTGGCAACTATCTGTATGATAATGATTTGGAGGATGTTGTATTAGTTAGCTCTTGCTTTGATAATGCTTTGGAACAATTCACCCCAAAATTCAGTGATATAAGATAATATTTGTTTTTCTTGGGTCTATAGGTTAATTGCAGTGACTATGTAGTAGACCTACACATGACTGGTTTTGCTCCACTGTTTGGATCAGCATGAGGCTTGTGCTACACATGTCACTTCAGGATTCAGTTGCAGGACAGCGTCTACCAGGGCATGCTCTTCTTACAATGGTGAGTGAAACGCAAGAGCCCAACCCCAAAAGTCTACTTAAAGCCTCTCCTGGCATTGTTTCTGCTTATACTCTATTGACCAAAACATGTCCTGATCTAAGTTGTATTTAGAATATGTGCATATTCTTGAGGTTGGATGATCTTTTTTTTTTTTTTTAAGGTTTATTTATTTATGCATACGAGAGCTGGGGTATAGGCCAGAGATGCAGGATAGTGAGAGAACTCACCAGAGACAGAGTGGGGAACAGAACAGGCAGACTGAAATACACTGCTGAGGGGAGCAGTGGGCGAGTCAGGAGAGTTCTGCCTCACCATATTGGTTGCTCCCTGGCCAGCTGGGGATTGAACTTGTGCTGCAGAGGCTGCGGATTGCTTCATAGTGCAGTGCTTAACCCCTTGCACCACCAGGGAGTTTGGATGATCTCATGAAATGAAGGAAGGAAGGACCCAATTAGTTTATGTAATGTAGCACATTTTACTTTCTCCCATGACTTCCTTCACAAGGTTTACTAACTGAGCTTATTTACATGATAGCAGACCATAACAAATCCATAATAACAAAACAAAAAATACTGATTGAAGTAATTGTGTATGTGATAACAGACAATATAATTTCAAATTTCTTCTTCACTAAACTGATTTATTTTTATTTTTTATCACCAAACCACCCATGTTCATAGCCTGTCTGCCTCCCAGCTCCTTTCCCTTCACCCTTCCCACTCACTATTAACCTTCCCACCCTCTGTCAACCATTATCTTCTTTTTTGTGAAGTTCAAATATTTATTTCTTCTGTAATTTGCATGTGATTTTTCTTCTTTTTTTTTGTATTTCTATTCTGCAGATGAGTGAAACCATCTAATATCTGTCTTTCACTTTTTGGCTAATTTCATTCAACATAATCACCTCAAGGTCCCTCATTTTGTGCCAAATGCCACCACTTCAGCTTTTTTCACAGCTGTGAAATATTCCATTGAATATACATTCCATAGCTTATCCATTGACCCTTGGGTTGGCTCCATAATTTGGCAACTATAAACAGTGCTGCTGTGTACATAGGTGTAGATTCATCTTTTTGTATTAAGTTTTTCATGTTATTTGGATAGACACCTAATAGCAGTATTGTTGGGACAAATGGGAAATAAAGTGATTTTAAAAGTGAGTACTTAAACAATGTTTATATTGAATTGTTATGCATATAACGTATAGAAATGTAGTATGTTTAACAATTTTATATAAAGGAAACAGTGAGAACAAGGTAGTTGTGTTTGAGTAAGAATGACACTAGATCATAACTTGAATTCACAGGAGAAAATGAAGAGAACCAGAAATGATAAATAGATTAATCTAATAAACTATAAGTATTTGTTCCCCTTCTCATAATTCCTTTAAGTAACATATGATTATATAAAGTAATGAAGGGTTGAGGAGTACGATTTGGATTCAAATGCAAGTTTAATCCCCTACTGGTTATGCAACCTTTGTCTTCATTTTCCTCATTTGTATTAGTTTGCATGAAAGGGAAATTATATAATGTACACCCATTGTAAAAAGATTTGAAGTTCCCTGACTTGTAATGGTTTATGACTGTGACATCTGTTCATCTTCTTCACAGTTAATGTGACTTCATGCTGAGTTTGGCCCAATTCCCTGACCTCTGTCCGTCTGAACTAGACAGCATATTCCTGAAATATTGTCTTAGGTTTAACTTCAGGCAAACTGCTTTGCTGATCTGCACACACCTTTACCCTAGAATGCTAACCCTCTTGGTCAGCTTCAGAGAATACATCCACACAAAGATCTAAAGAAGGTATTTGCCTTATTTTCTACTGAGGCAGTTTCTTTTTTAGAAATTAGTACTTAAACAGTAGGACACTGGTTAGATGAATTATGTCATGAAATGGTATGTAGTCAATAAAATATGCAGTGAATTTGCATATATTGGCATAGCAAAGTAGCCATGATGTAAAGTGAAGAAGGCAAGATATAGGATAGTCAGACAATTTATGTCCACTGGAAATTAAGACACCTGAGAGCAGAGACCGTGTTTGTCTAATTTATCTGAAGCATTTAATGGACTTGTAGTGGGCACTTAAACATATTTGCAGACTGAAAGAAGAGCACAGAAATAACCTAGGAGAACAAATACTGCATCGCTATCAGAGTCACCCCTCTGTAGAGAGCAGCACTTTTGGGTCAGTGAAGACTTGTGCTGTTTATTCTCTGCATTGCTCATTTCCAAGTGGTTATGTTAGAATATATTTGTATTTTGTGTTTCTGACACTTAAGGTGCTTGATCTCCCAACAGCCCATTCCTGTGTCTCTTTGTCGCTCTGCCTTTAGGTTATCAGAAACAGATTTCCAACTGGCCTGGAAAACCAAAAGTGACTGATAACTTGTGGTCTCTCTGCCTACTTCCCAGCCGTTAACAAATAACTGACAGGAGTTTAAAGACTTTCACAGCCTGGCTCTTGATTGGACAAGATAAAGACAAAAACATGCTTTTTTTATTTTCTATCACTCTCCTTCCATTCAACCTAAATATTGACTTCGAAGGATTTTACTTCAAACTGCCCTCTTTGTGGTCTTCTTCCAGTACAGGGATCCCTGCATAGACCTGGAAATGTTCCCCCTGGTGGAGTCTACTTATGGGGACCCAATCTAAGTCACTCATGTAATTAAAAACAGTGAAGACAATTGCTGTCTATTGGAGACTGAGGTGAATGGCCTCCTTACCTCAAACTTTTCACCCTCTACAGCTCTAAATTAATTTTAAGAGTGGTCTGGGGACTGCTCCATAACTCACAGGCCCAGAACAAGATGAAAATATCATGTCCCTTATTTGAAAATCAGAAAAATAGTGATGTTAGGAGTACTAAAATCTACAAACTTTTTCTTCTTTCCAGTCTCTCTCAACATGTTGGGGTTTTTTATTTTCTCTTTACCATTGTTCTAGGTAAAGAAAAATTTAAGTTTTATTTGAAAGTTATTAGCATGAACTTTATAATTCATCTTTTTACAATGCAGTGTGAGTGTGAAGTGCAAATACAGGTTTTCACTTGTATGCAGAATCATCAAAATAACACAATTGATACTTATAAATTGTACGTGCTTATGTATCTCTTTCTTACCCATACTGTGGAAATGATTCACAAAATTAACTTACTTAGCTATTTTAATTTTACTTCCTAATACATGCAATTTTTTTTAAAGATTTATTTATTTATTTATTTATTTATTTATTTATTTATTTATTTATTTATTTATTTATTTATACAAGCAGTGGGTACAGTCAGAAGCGCGGGAGGGTGAGAGAATTCACAAGAGCTAGAGTGGGGAGCAGAGCAGGCAGAAGGACCGAAGTACACTGCTGAGGGGAGCAGCGGGCGGCAGAAGAGGTCTGCGCGCCATGTGGGACCCTCGCCTGGTGGCCAGGGAGCAGCTGTGGATTGAACAGGCGCTGAAGAGGCTGCGGGCAGCTTCGCAACCCAGCGCTCAACCACTGCGCCACGGGGGAGGCCCCAATACATGCAATTTTACCACCTCTCTCCATCTCTTGTAAGATGTGTAAAGATGGACTGAAAGGAAAAGGAACTAAGGATTGTTTTATCATTCCCTTTCCTTCTATCAATATAGCATCATTTTCAATTTAAGCATTTGTCTGGGAATGCAGGGAAGTCAATGAGTTGAAAGGATTTGATAATTTCCTTGTTCATTCCTGCACTTTGGAATACCATTGCCTTCTCTTTGTTCGAAGACCTCTGGTCAGGACTAAAGCATGTCCTCTTAGGGCTGTCAGCACCTCACTTTTACTCAGCCACACTTTGAGTCCTGATAAACTCCCACCCATTTCTAGTCCACCTGAATTTCAAGATGGAAAGGGCAGAATATTAATCCAAGATTGGGGGTCTCCTGCCTGCGGGGCTTGGGTGACTGCTCAGGAAGACAGCCCTGGCTGTGGTACAAAAATGACTAAGCCTGGGCTTACTCAGACCTGGGGCAGTTACCCACCTCTCTCTCAATTCCTGGCCTGGGCATACTTTAGGGCACCTTGCCTCTGTGTTGGTGCTCACTCTTGTTTCAGCACTCAATTTTTTTTTAAAGATTTATTTATTTATGCAAGCATTGGGGTACAGGCCAGAGGCATGGGAGGGTGAGAGAATTCACCAGAGACAGAACAGGGAGCAGAAAGGCAGAAGGACTGAAATACACTGCTTAGGGGAGCTGTGGGTGAGACAGGAGAGGTCAGCTGCGCCATGTGGGAATTTCCCTGGCCGGCCGGGGAACCAACTGGGGACTGGGGACAGCTTCACAGTGCTGCGCTCAACCCGCTGCGCCACCGGGGAGGCCCAGCACTCAAATTTTTATTTAAGATCATCTTTGTTTTAAGGCCTCCCCGTTGGTGCAGCGGTTGAGCACTGGGCTGCGAAACTGCCTGCAGCCCCTGCAGCCCCTACAGCACAGGTTCGATCCTTGGCCACAGGCAAGGGTCCCACATGGCACACAGACCTCTCCTACCTTGCCCGCTGCTCCCCTCAGCAGTGTACTTTGTCGTTCTGCTTCTGGCTCTGGTGGATTCTCTCACCCTCCCGCGCGTCTGACTGTACCCAGTGCTTGTATAAATAAATAATCTTTTTAAAAAAATCATCTTTGTTTTCTTATGATCCTAGTAGAAATTTTAAGTATGCTTGCTCTAATTGATCTAGCATTTGGCATTTTGTGATGGGAAGGAATTTCAGAACATTTAGTCTTGTTAAACTCATGGAAATAGAAATCACAGAGTGTGTTTTTTGTCTACTTACAGATTTCACAATGTTTCAAATCTGTTTCAGATTTCACAAACCTCTTAGGAGTTGGGTATCTTTAAAACTACTTTTTGCTTTTTTTCAATTAAAATTATATTAGGTTCAAGTCTACAGCATAATGATTTGACATTTGTGTCTATTGTAAAATGATCAGATTATTGACATTCGTAACTTTGTAGTCACAATTTTTTTCTCTT